GTGTTCAGGTGGAATGATATGAGCAATTAGACTCGATAAGCCTGTCTTTGGTGCCCGGCCATAGTATAGGAGTCTCCCTAGGATGGAAGTTGGCTGTGTTCGGACTGCCCTCTTTCATCTCATGTCCAGCACTTATTGTTCCACCATGGACTGCTGTCCAACTGGGAGAGCTGGTTTTCATGACATGACAGCCCACTGGGGGTTGCACTGTGCCAAGTACTGATGCATGGCACATGTGAGCCCCTGGCTTGCTCTGGGTTCGTGTGCAAATCCAGGTGGCAGGGCTTGTTTGAAGTTTACACCATTCTCAAATAACCCTAAAACAAGCCATGGGCTGTTTGAAGGTTGGCTAGCCATTGCATGGCTCTGTATGACATTCCAGGACAAGTGGGCACCCTGGCAAACCAGCTTTGTTTAACAAAGCTTAAGCCCATTAATGTAGGAGAAACATAGGAAATAAGCCATATTTATGAGCTTGCTTAGGTTTGTGGTGTTAGGCACTCTTTTTCTGGGTCTGGGCCTCATCTAATGATTTTTGCAGGCCTTGAAATGAAACCCTGCATTAGCAGATAGCTACCTTTCCTTTGATGCTTTTGGGAATGGGCAAAGTATGCAATTGCTATGCTGTTTTTAAAACTCTTGTAAGAATATAACTGACAATGGCTACATCCAGACGCAATGCTAAACCACTTAGAATTTAGTATTATGTGAATGAGGCTCATACCTCTTCGCTAGGAGAAATGAGAAGGTTTTTGCTTTGTTTTTCAGCTACCCACAATTTGTCATTGACTTGCTTTGCATTCTCAGTGAATGAAATAAACCACCATGGCTTCTTGCAGCTACTATACCTGCCCGAAGCATGCTGGCTGAGTAGCCCACTTCTGTTTGTATCACTGTCATTTCTGGATGAAAATGCCATTAAAAAACTTCTTAAACAAATGATACTTCCTGAAACTTTAACAGCACTTGGTAGCCAGATGTTATAATTAAAATCATGCCTTAAGTTAGAAATCTCATTAAGGTTTTTCTTTCCCCCCCACTGTATTGAAGGATTAATCTGGTGGAGGTAACATGAGTCGTTAATGCATTTCTTTCCTAGTGAGGTTCGAAAACAATCATTCCATTGTCAGGCTTGTGCCTGCTGCTTTGGAATGTCTTCCACCCTTATCCATCAAATTGCATCCTTTTGGGCTAAACAGAAGAGGTGCTTGAAAATGGACCTGCTGTTTTGGGCAAGATCTGAGGAACCAAAGCTGTGCTGTAGGCAGGGCTGTTTCCACATGTCCACACATTTAAAATTAGCAAGAATTGCAACCTGTATGTAATGTAGGTGAGGCAGTGGCTGTACTGAACCGGTGCCTGGCCGAGGTAATGGGCTGGATGAGGGCCAATAAACTGAAGCTCAATCCAGACAAGACGGAGGTCCTGTTGGTTGGCGGTTCGGGCTTCGGAGAAGGTGACCTGAACCTTGTCCTGAATGGGGTTGCACTCCCTCCTAGGGACAAGGTCCGCAGCTTGGGAGTGCTCCTCGACCCGGAGCTTTCACTTGAAGCTCAGGTGACAACAGCGGCGAGGAGCGCTTTCATCCAGCTTCGGCTGATTCATCAGCTGCGCCCCTACCTGGAGTACGACTGCCTTGCAACAGTGACTCATGCGCTGGTGACTTCCCGTCTTGACTTCTGTAACGCGCTCTACGTGGGGCTACCCTTGAAGACGGTCCGGATACTTCAATTGGTTCAGAATAGAGCTGCCAGGCTGCTGACGGGGACTGGACGTTATGTTCACATGACGCCAGTTCTCCGTCAGCTTCACTGGCTCCCCATTGAAGTCCGGGCCCAATTCAAGGTGTTGGTAATGACCTATAAAGCCCTAAACGGCTTGGGTCCTGGTTACCTGAAGGAGCGCTTACATCCATATTTGCCCAGTCGCCCCCTGAGATCGGCGGGAGAGGCCCTTCTCCGGGAGCCCTCCGTGAGAGAAATTAGGAGGGTGGCTACTCGGAGAAGGGCTTTCTCAGCGGTGGCGCCTAAGTTATGGAATGCGCTCCCCAGAGAGGTCCGCCTGGCGCCGTCGTTATTTGTTTTTCGGCGCCAGGCTAAGACCTTTTTATTTAAGCAACATTTTAAATGCTAAATATAATTGAATTTTATCTGGCCAGGGCGGCTTATTTTATAATGTGAGTTTTAATTAAGATTATTTTATATGGATTTTAACTTGTTTTATCTATGTTGTAAGCCGCCCCGAGGCTTCGGCGAATGGGGCGGCATAAAAATGTTTTAATAAATAAATAAATAAATAATGCAAACTGCATCAAAACTGATCAGAAAACACTTGGTCTGGCTTGCTCTTCTCACTTGAACAGGAGCTAACAGCAGCAATCAGTTGCTGGAATTTTTCACAGTATAGAAATAATTATGTTACCTGGAAACCTGATGAGTTGCTATTAAATGAGATACCAGCTGAAAAATCTGGCAATCTACTGCTTACTTGTGCCCCCGGATCACCTGTTGAAAGTACAAAATTCCAGTCTGGTGCTGTTTGGAAGCTTCTTTATATTTCTAGCATAAGAACTGGATATGAATTGAAAACAGACCTTAGAAAGGTCCTAAATATTCTATACACACAACAAGTTTCATCTCAACCTGTTCTACTTAATGCCAGAAGATTTAATACACCTGCTTGGCTGATGATATCCTTGAAGAGGTGGATTGGTTTTATTACAAGGTAGCAGAATTGAGCAAGGTTAGAGAGGGTTTGTTTGTTTTTTAAGAGAGGCTGCTTTTACTTTCATTTATGATTAATTCATTGCATAGCTGGCAGAGTCTGGCAATACTTTTCTTTCCCACATTTTAGCTGTGCAGCTTAAAACTTCCCAAGTACATAAAATGGAATATATAATAAATGCATAAGCGAAGGTGGCAAGGGATATAGCATCCAGGAAAATAACTCAGCTATCTCTCAATTTCTTCTGCTTAATTTTGGCGTAATCATGCCCTCTGCAGTTAGAAGATTGCAGCACCAGTGGTCATGAAGGCCTTTGGAAAAAGTTTCCCTTGAGCACATAGAGACCAAAAAAAAACCTCTTACAATAGCAATCCTAAACTCCTCACACCTTGAATGCAATGGGATTTACTTCTGAATAGACAAACATAGGGTTTCCCTCCAAACTTGAAATGAGTGCTAATTAGAAGACTACCTTTTATGCAAGCAAACATTTACAACCAATAAATCAAGGGCCTATTGCCATAGACTTACCTTCTCAAAAAAACAAGCTAACTCTCAACCCAAGCAGATCTTCAGCCTTCACTGAAACCATCAAGCAACTTCCTACTTCTTGTATTGCTTACCTTGTCAGTTCTGTGAAAGATTAAAAGGAGCAGGAGCAGGGAATGGAAGGGTTGGATCGGGAGATGCATCGATCCAAAGCTCCTCCAATCTTTAATCTTGCCCCTAACAGAGGGACATGTATGCTGGTCCTGGAGCTGTTTGAATTGGGAAGGAAATGGGTCAAAAGGCACTCCTGGAACTGGAAGGGAGGGAGGAGGATGCCACTTCTCCCTCACTGCTGCTATTTTTGAAGAGCCTTTTTGTACATGTCAGTGGTTCCAACCTCTGATCATTCCAGCTCTTTTGGCAGATTGTTCTGTTCAGTGTCCAGAAATTTCCAGAAGAAAAAAGTGGATACCGGGCGGAACTGGTTTCTTCATTACATGGAATGAAAACACCCATGTTTTCTGTTTGACAATTTAAATATTCATATTTTTAGAAAATTACAAATGCAATATATAGCTTATTTTATGTTAGATTATAAGTAAGTTTCATATTTTCATGTGCACTTTGGAGGTATTCACTGGATAATCAATATTTCAGCTACAAAATTTCAATATATAAATCCATGTTTGCTGCTTTAACTTGGTCACATACTTTCTCCCCAGTTTAGGCTTGTTATTAAAATGGAGGCATGACCTCCCTGGTCTGATTCAGAAGGACTGTTCAACGCTTTGTAAACCACAGGGAATCTAATTCATTGCAACAGGAACCATGATGTATAATCCTAGGAACAAACCTTTCCCTCTTCCGGTTGTGAGCATGCAGAAATAAATACATAATGTGTGCTTCCACTTGCGATTTCACTATTGGAAGTTTGTTTTATCACAGTCTTACCTAAGTCCATCTGTGACCTGGAAATCATGGGTACAAATCCAACCTCCTACACACAGTCACTAATTAGCAACGGGGAATATCGAGCCCAGCTTTCTCCAACCTGGTGTCGTCCTCCTGTCTTGGACGGCAGCTTTCATCCTTACCAGCTTCTGGGAAGGGTGGGGGTTGCAGCCCCACATTTGGAGACCATCAAGCTGGAGAAGGCAGCCTCAGTGACCCCCTACATAATATGGGGATAATATTGGCCTCTTTTATAACCTTTACTTAGAGCGAGTTGATGCATAATCACACTCGATAGCTTGTAACCCTGCAGCTGTACTGCTCTACAATTCCCATTAGCCCCAGCCAGTGTGGCCAATATTTCAGGATGAGTTATAAGCCAAAATATCTGAAAGGTCAGAATTTATTTACCCCTGGTGTACAGGCAGCCCTTATAACCTGTATTATGCAAATGCTAATTATTACTTTTATTTTTTAATTAAAAATATAAGCATGCACATTCAAAAACAATATTCAAATTGGAATCAATACACACAAGCTGTATACAGTATTTAATGGTTAATTCTTCATCTTGAAGTTCTTTTTGAATGCTGTGTTCATTAACCGCATAAATCGCCTCCATTCATAGGGATAAAATTCTTTCATACCTTGTAGAGCCCTGAAATCTGTACTAGTGGCTAACAAAAAAGGTCTCACATTTTTGCTGTGGAAGCAGCTTAGATACATCCTTCTGTCCATCAATGCAAAGTATTATTGCAGTTTGATCTGACATTGTAAAGTGTTGCCTATGCTTTAAAAATGCTCTGAAGTTTAACTGCTTCTTCATTCCCTTGCAGACTATCCCAGGAGTTGGGCGCAAATACTTCCTGCAGTTTTCTACAAAAGATATTCAAAGTGGGGTAGGTCTGCACCTCAAAATGGAGCTTCTTGCATGCTTTTAAAAATACAGCCCACCAGTTCCCCCTTCATACCATTGCCCTCTCTTTTCCATGGCCGGCCATCTTTCTTGTATCACTGCTTGACTAACTTTCCTGGATATCACGGGCTTCTTGTTACACAGCAGCTCCCCCAGTGATGCTTCAGGAACACTTGTGCAACATAACCTGTGAGCAGCAGCCAAAGGCAGAGAAAGCATGTCCACCTGCTGTCTTCTAGACAGTCAGGTAGGAGATGGGATGAATCTTGCCCGTGCGACGGCAGGCACCGCACGCTCGGGCTGGTTGGGTGCCTTTGGTGGACAGTCATGATGGGTCCCACTGGAGAGACATTTGCTCACTACCACGAGATGCTGAGCAGTGTGTGCAAAGGCCTTTCTTCTTCATAGTCACAGCCCAGGAACATCTTCCGGCTGGTACAGCACATGGCCCGTGGGCGCTGACCTCACTCCTCTTCCCTTTCATAACATTCACGTCTCCTTTCGTACAAAGTTGGCCTGACGTGTCTCCCTGTTCCTTCCAGCTCCGAGGAAGAGAATTGATGCTGTTAGGTTCCCATGTTTTCCTCAGTGGCTATTGCAGGTTTTCTCTCTTAACTGGACTTGGGAGAAGCAACATCTCTGTGTCGTGAAGCTCTTAAGGACTCATGCAAATGAAACTGATTTATACAGAATCAGATAACTGGGCTCATTTAGCTTTTCTAAATCAAGGTTGATCAGAGCGTGGCCCATCAAGCCATTTCTGGCTCTCCACTAGACATTTCTATATGTGCCACTACCACCAATCATCATCATCATCATAGCATGGTGTCACTTTTAGGGATCTTTCTTGCTAGCCTACTGAAATTTCTTTCTTAGTGCCAGCAAAAGAAATCCTTTGCTTACCTCCAAGTTCTTAGCTCAGATAGATAGATAGATAGATAGATAGATAGATAGATAGATAGATAGATAGAGGAAGGGCTTAGGGTTAACAGTGCTAGCAAGCTGAGCTGCTTCTCCTCTCCCAGGAGTGTGTCAGCATGAGTGTCTGTGCACACATATTTTTATTTATAACATTTGTAGGCTGCCTATTATGCCACAGCACCTCTGGGCAGCTCACAATCATAAGATAAAAACCACAATCAAAAAGCTAATTGCAACAATTAAAAATACAGATAAAATACAAAGCAAAGTTTCAGTGGCATCAACTATTAAAATATTTTTTTAAAAAAGGAAGGTCTTTGCCTGGTGCTGAAAAAAGAATAAGGAAGGTGCCAGGCAAATCTCCTTGGGGAGAGCATTCCAAATATGGGGAGCAGCTGCAGATGCAATGCTTGGAGCCAAAACTATTGAGGAGTGCTGATCTATTTTGATTGATTACCCCAGAGCTGCAGACCTGGACAAGACATTCACTAATTCCTCAATTCTCTGAGGTGTTGTGATTAGATTTCTTTGAATTTTTTTAAGCATCTGCCCATGTGGTGGTGAGGTATTCTGCAACACTGGCATAGGGATGGGAGGGAGTGGGCTGGTGGTGGGATTCATAAAACATTTGGGAGTAAAAAGTTCCACCCATTGTGTTTGTTTTTTAAGAAAAATCTAGGGACGTGCCTTGCAACAGTGTTCTACCTGAAGAAAAAGCCTAAGCCATTTGTTGAAATGCAGTGCTTACTCAACAAAGAGAAAGAACAGCGCCTGCATGATGACTTCGGCTTGTACCTTAGCATCAGAGGTATGTCTGGAGTCAATAAATACACTGCTGTATATCCCTTTCAGATTAGCAGCTTTGGTTAGCTCATACCCATTCCTGGAAGGTGCTCGAGGCAACTTCACCCAAACTGGTGCCCTCCAGTTGTCTGGCCAACAACACCCATAATTGTTGGGAACCAGGCTTGGGACAGCTACTCCAGGGTGGCAGATTTAGTGCACCTGCACGAAGTAGAGTTGCAATAGCTGCTTTTCCATGTACAGTCACTTGTAGAGCGTTTTAGGGAATGCTAGCCATTTTCTTCTCTTTGTGGGAGAAGTAGGGCAGCCACTCAATATCCTTTTGCCTTCCCAGTGGACAGAAGTTCAGTCTATTGGTAAGGAGAGCTAAAAATGAAGCAGAAGAAATCCATTGCTGTGCTGCTTCAGAATTCTTGGCAAGGAAAGAATTTAGGATTTTATGATCAGTCAGCACAGATTTTTTAACATGTGGTGTCCATGTGGGTTCATCACTTACATGACAGACACACATACTGGCAAGTTGAACATTGGATCATTAATCCAGAGAGAAGTGTCACATGCATTGGTAACTTCCCGATTAGATTTCTGTAACGCGCTCTACGTGGGGCTGCCCTTGAAGATGTCCGGATACTTCAATTGGTGCAGAATAGAGCTGCCAGGCTGCTGACAGGGACTGGGCGTTGTTCTCATATAACCCCTGTTCTATGACAGCTTCACTGGCTCCCCACTGAAGTCCGGGCCCAATTCAAGGTGTTGGTTATCACCTATAAAGCCCTCAACAGCTTGGGACCTGGTTATCTAAAGGAGCGCTTGCATCCATATATGCCCTTCTGCCCCTTGAGATCGGCAGGGGAGCCCCTTCTCCGGGAGCCCTCTGTGAGGGATATTAGGAGGGTGAGTACCCGGAGGAGGCCCTTCTCTATGGTGGCACCCCACCTATGGAGTGCGCTCCCCAGAGAGGTCCGCCTGGCGCTGTCGTTATTTGTTTTTCGGTGCCAGGCCAAGACCTTTTTATTTAAACGATATTTTAATTGTTAATCTGTGTTTTATTTAATGGTTTTATATTATCGCCGAGAATGCCAAATTTTTAATATTGTTCTATGCTTTATTTATTTTCCTTGTGAGCCGCCTCGAGGCTTCAGTGATGGGTACGGCACAGAAATGTTATACATACATACATAAATAAATAAGTTCTTTTTTTTTTAACTAGCACACTCGCTGTTGTTGGTGTATGTGGTCAACCTTCATGGTATCTACTACCCAACTAACACGCATTAAAAAGTGGACCACCTCTGCCACCTTAAAATTGTTTGATTTCTATGCTGCCTATTAATGGAGATGATTCTTTGAAAAATGTTAGAGATCTCTTTGCTAAAGTTTAAAAAATCTGGTTGAGGGTACTGCCTTCCTGCTTGCACACGCACAAGATACCTGGAGCCAGTATCTGCTTACCATAAACATCTCACTGATACATTTGCTAAACCATTCCTATCTTCTGTCCCTTGCAGATAGTAATGAGCCCCCCCTCGAGCATCTGTGGGCTTTGGCCAGCATTGGCAGCAGTTACATTGCATGGGAGAGGTCAACTGAAGACTTTGGTTACAACATGGCACAAATCAAGAGCATGAAGCAGTGGGTAGGTGAAGCTGATGTAGTTTGCATGCAAAGGCAGCAGCCCTGCCGGAGGGGGTTTTGTGTACCCCCAGAAGCTTGGCTTTCCTGTTGGGTATCTTAACGTCCTTAAGTACACCACCTCCTGCTACACCATTATGGGAAATCTCGGTGAATGGTTTTCCACAGTTTTGCAGGCCATAAAAGCACTCCTGTAGCCTGCCAAAGCCACATGGTGCCTGTACTCAGTTGTTTAACCTATCTACATAACAGATGCAGAGCATTCTGGGATGTGCACAGATGGCTGCCTGGTCCCAGGCCACAAGCAGCCCATATAGATCTAAGATGAACAGCCTTCATACTGAGAAGGTTCATGCATATCTTGCTTGGTCCTCAAACTTCTCAGACTGGCAGATGTTGGCAGTTAAATTCTCAACCCGGCAGGGTTTTTCAGGCAAACTAGCATGATCCTTTGATGGAACGGCATATTGGATTTCCTGACAGTCCCAACACAATTCTGCTCCAGGGGTGCTGTGGGGGGGCACTCCAGTGGGGAAGAAAGATTTTGTAGTATGAGCAGAAGTCTGTTATTACTGAATTACATTTATATCCCCCCTTCTTCCTCTTACAAGGAGCTCAATGGGGTTGACATAGTCTTCTTCCACGCCAGTTTATCTCACTACTTTGTGTGGTAGATTAGATTAAGTGTAACTATCCCAAAGTCACCCAAGAGCTTTGGCCAAATGGAGGTTAGATCCTGAAACTCCTAGGTCTCTAGTCCAGCATCCTAATGAGCCTTCCATGCTGGCTCTCAATGTTGTGTCTACACACAGCATTTTATATGACTCCTGGCTTGCTAGATGTTTTTAGCCACTATATATAGGACCAGTAGTGGTTAAGACTGTCTTCCTGTGTGGCTGTAGCCTGTAATTCTATTCAAGGCAGGTGCAATGTAGTCCTAACTAGGTGTAAAGTAAAACTCATTAAATTCAATGATGCTCACTCACTTGTAAGTATATTTAAGATTGCAACCTAAATCAGCAGGACTTTATAGGTTCATGTGCTGAAGTGAGCTGCTTTCTCTGCTACCAGATGGAGACAGCACATATGCATTGGTTATTGAAGAACTGGCATAGCCTCGCTGCAATATATGGAGCTAACATGCTCCAAATGGAAGCTATTTTGTGCAAAAGCAAACCAGCTCTGTTCATGGTGTATGAAGGTGGTGAAGAGAAAAATATCTGAACTACATTGACAATACTTGTAATAAAAGGACATGGATTTACAGAAATACCATGAAGAACATACAAGGACATAGAATCTCAAATACACACCTCCCTACCAGACATTTGGCACAGTGTTTGATGACTTCATAAATTACAATGCCTGAATGCCAACAAGATTTTTTTTAATGACATTTTAATTTTGACTGACAATCTTTGTTCTATTTCTTTGTCTAGAGAAGAGCTGATGATGCACTTGAGTTTGACTACACTGTTCTGCTTGATAGTGATGCTTCTGAGGTAAGAAAACCACAGCACTTTAGCAATTTTCTCCTAAGAGATGTCGAATCTACATGAGTGAAATTACAGAGCAGTAATCTTATTTCTTTAGCCACATTTGGAAAGCTTGCAGAGCAAAGGTGTTGAGACACTAAGCCAAAGTTAGGAAGTCCCTGCCATGAAGTCACTAAGTTTGAAAACTCATACACACTTTCTTCCTAGTGATCTCAATAGGACTTCCTTCTGAGTATACATCTATACAATTGTACAAAAAGTGGCTGTAGTCAAGCTACTGTTTCTCATTCCAACAACTCATCCACAATCTAGAATTACTACCAATATACAACATTACAAAAATAATTGAGGGACTGACTTGGTTCACGCAATCAAAATAAGCTACCAGATTGTTAGAGGGGAAAAACAATCTTCTAATAAACCCATGATTTGTAGCAAGATTACTGGAAGTTTGTTTCCTTCTCCAACAAACCATGGTGGATGACATGACAAGCCATACCCAGGCAGTGGTTATTGAAATCATATTTTTTTTAACATGTGAACTAGAACATTTGTAACATAATTCCATGCATACTTGAAGGGGTCTATAGGTCTATTCAGTAGGATTCCCCCCAAGAGGACTTTAATACTCCAAACCTCTACAGAAATACTAATTTTTTTTACATATTTCTGCAGCCTCTTTCTTGCCATATGCGTGTTATCTGGCACCTGGAGAAGCCTCTGAAAGTGAAGTATGACTGCTCTGTGGAAGAGGGATCATCTGAATCTGCTGATGGTTCTGGCACAGAACTGGGATCTGCTAGTGGGTTTTTCATGGAAACAGAAAGTAATTTTTAAGCAGGAGGAATGCTTGTGTTTATACAGGTGTAAACATTTTTATAATGGTGTGGAGCACCTATTGTTTTAATATTCCAAAATCAGTATTGTTATTATACTTCTATATAAATCATTGCAGTATATTTGCAAATTTTGCACTAGTCATTCTGATCCACCATGAATATATTCTTTTCTAGGTAACTTCATGGACAAAAAAGTGTTTGTTTTTTGTTTTTGTATCTTCCTAAACCACTGTTTGCAGATCCTTTAATATATGTAAGAAGAACTACTGATTTGTCATCAAATGCTGGAACTAGGGATAACTTTGTATGAGACAAATTTTAATATATATCTGAAGAAAAGTCTTGAAGTTTTACAAACCACCATTTTAGTGAAATATTTGATAAAATATTTTAAGTTTTGAAAAGCAGTATTTGAAGCTCTTAACTTATCTCCAATAAAATGAATAGTGGTACATCTTGTGTGTGCTATTTTGTATCAGTTTGTATCAGTTAAGCCACTTCAAAATTCATTTTCCATGTTGTACAAAGATGACAGAGTGGGACTAGAAAGGAAAACTGATAAAACAGCATAAATTATACAAGCAGATAATGCAGAACTAAAGCAGCTGATCCAGATAAGGTTAGATAATAATATACTATGATTGACCTTTAAAAATAAATAGCAGGATCCCCCAAAACAGTTTGACTGTCTTACTATGTGGGCCTAGTATAGGTCAGAGCCCATGTGCCTGCTATTAGCATCAGAAGAAAAACTTTCTTGGTACAAATGGAAGCCTTGCTCTGATGCAAATAGAAGGTGCAGGCTGGAACCACACTGAAGGCCAAAAGGTTACAGCCCTTCTGTTAGACTCCATATCAAGCTTCTGCACCTGCTGCCCAATTCTGAGCAGCCATACCCACAGTAGCTAATGGTATATAGGGTGCCCTATCTGCTCTAGCCTTACTTGTACCAAAATCCTCTTGCTCCGTTGATTGCTACAAATTTATATAAATGCCATCGTTTTTTATGCTATCAAGCATCATATTTCACTTAGGCAGCCTGTTTAATGTGGATTTTCTTCCACGGAAGCTCCCCAGCCTGCCCGTTGATATGGGAGGTTATAGCAAGTCACACAGCAATCCGCTCATAGAGAAGTGAGCTGGTGTGTTGTGCTGCCCTTGCTGGGACCTCCCATGATTGTTGTGGGGGTAAGACAGAGAGCAGGACAGGGATAAAGCCTCTTTGAGGTCATTATAAAAGCGGGACTAATCAAATAAAGACTGAAAAAAGACATGCACGTGGGCTAAAGTGGCAAACCTGTTTATGGGCTTTCTAGCAACCAGTTGGGCGCATCCACCACTTGACCAATGGACTGTATTCCTCCCTCCCCAACAGCAGACCCCCAGGCCTGCCTTCTTTGGAACAGCCCCCACCTTGCACAACTGTTGAATGCTATCTGGGTGAGGCATGTAACTATACAGATTCTTTTTGCCTCTGTTCCTGTACTCAGAATGCACGTATTTTCAAGTTTGGCTTAGGTTTTGCTTTTTGCTTTTTTCTGGTGGGCAGGGTGTGGACTGATAAAAAAAGCCCCTCTCCAGGACTGCGAGAGCACTGAAACCCTTACCTCAATCACAGCAAACTGCTCAGAACAAGAGTTTTGAAACAATTTCTCCCAGCATGTTGTGATTTAAATGAAAACACACCCACTTCTGGTACACGGAGAAAGTCATGAGTAATGGAGGTCCAAATGCGTGCTTTTCTTTTGTTGTATGAATCGAAGACCATCCCCTACTTTGGACTCAGGCGTGCTCCCTGCAGAGGCACCAGCAGCCTCACAGACAACTCTCTCTCAGTAGCCACAGTATTGTTTGTACAATTTTGAGCTGTCAACTTTTAACTTATTTTAAGGTTTTTTAAAGGTTAACATCACTTGAATCTTTTAAAAAAAGAATGAAATCTAGCATTTCCAGAATTTCTGTCATACTATATTAAGCCACTCTCTGGGACTCTATATGGAATGGCTTTTCTTTATTGAAACTCTAGGACTTATTTCCAAGGCAGAAAACAGTGTGTCTACCTACAAAATACAGTCTTCTAAGAAGTCCCAATATTTCTAAATTCATGCTCCCATATTCTGCACACATGCAAAAGTAGGTGAGGAAACACAAGGAAGCAGATGCATTCATCAAGAAAGAATGGGAGACCTTCCTGCTACCAAGTTTATACCCCGGGACTATAGAAATACAGGGAAAGAATGTTGCAGCCTTTCACACTCTCCCTTTGGACAGTTAGTAGTAGTTCTTTCCAAGGTGCCCAAAAATACACAGCAAAGCTTTGTTTTTTGTCACTCCCAATTTTCCCAAGTAATTGCCAAAAAACAATTGCCAAATAATTTCTTGCCCTTTGACAACTGCAGAAGACTGCAGTTACATAAAAACAGCACTGGGGAATGTGGATGAATAATAGGTTGTGGGGGTACCTGCTGGTTTTGAAAAACAGCATTTAGAGCGCTGAGCCCTCAATCTGCTGGTAAGCCGAATTGGCCCCATCAAGCAAGCTGATGGCTTGCCAAGTGGTTCCACTCACAGCTGTTGGATCAGTGATCCGCACCAGAACCTTACTACAGAAATCACCATTTCCTGACCCGAGTTAACCCAGCTTCAGTGCTCTGTGTCACACGGGGTCATGTATTTCCATTTATACCAGAGAAGTCCAGAACCTGCTTGCCTCCACTGACCCTTGCAAGTTTGGACAGAAACAGAAAACACTGTTGGTCGTCTATCGTGTTCCACCAGCTTTTTGCCTCAACTGCCTTTTGCTTGGCCAGCTAATGTTCTCAACCTTGCCTACCACAACAACTTGAAAGGATTTTTATTTTTATTTTTGCTCAGAGGCATTAGGAGTTAAATGCACCTAGTCTTCAGCTTGAGGAAGAGATTAGTTGCACCAAGGGAAAGGCATCTTGCATTGATCTATATTGAGGAGGACATTAATCTACCAAGCACAGACTGTTATTCTGCACCCTCTTTTGTTGTGGCTGTGACTGGGTTATAACTCAGTTTCTTTTACATCATATTTGTTGGGAGCCCAGCCATTTTGTGCAGCTTTTCCCTGGTCAGTTAGTAGGAAGAACATCAGCCAGGTCCCACAGGTTAGGCACACATCCTGTCTGTCATCCTGACCATCTGCAGCCAAGCCAGACTCTCAGGAATTTGTTTGGCAGTAACGGAAGTCACCGCCTTGAATTTAGAACTACTACGCAGGGATGTCATGGATAGGACAACTTTTTGGAGGACCTTCGTTCATAAGCCAGAGGTAACTTGATAGCACATAATTTTAGTTTGGGAGGATTGTTCTTTTTAGGTTTTTCTGAGAGCCTCTTAATTCACATTTTAATTATTGTTTCGTATTGACTTAATTATTGTCTTTACTGTTTTACAGCTTTCCATCTTTAACTCTCTTCATTTCAAACAGTGAAGAAAGCATTCAAATCATCTCTCATTTTTTAAAAAAATGACAGTCATCATCATTATTTTCTTTGTCGAACAGAATCTCTCTGGAGCAATTACTTTTGATAAACTCATACATTTTCTACCAGGCGTCATATGAAAAAGAAGACAAACTTTGACTGTAACCTGAATATAGCCTGTCATTATGCGTAATATTTTGATTTGTTAGTTTATTTCTATTAGTTAATGGAACTTGAAAAGAGGATCTCATCTGAAAAAGCACTGAAATTTTGCTACTCAATGATATATGTAAATATATACATACATATTGTTTTATACCTGATTATATGTATATTAATTTTTTCCAGCTCAAGGAAAACCTGACTCTGACCTTGGGTGCTGTGAGAATTGCTTCTACCAGACCCCACAAACGGGCGTTCTGCCCAGGTGTCTCAGAGACTACAAAAAGGTCTGAGTGTTAGGAGGCTCCTTAATACCTGGTCAGACTATCCGTCCATGTTCTGAACACTTGGCACAGCTCTTCCACAGCCTCAGGCAGCAATCTTCCAATTCACTTATTATCTAATTCTTTTAACACAACTGGGAAAGGTCTCCAGGAATGGGAAAGAAAAAATGAGAGGGAATTTCAGAAGGTGCAGGATGAAGGAAACAACATTAATAATTAGTATAATTCCAATACTAAGCACTTAAAATTAAAGATACTTTATTAAATTAATACAATGATTAATGGAATTTCCAAGTGAATATTTCACCGACTGTCTCTTGAGGCGCGCTCCTATGCCCTCTGCTGCAGGTGCATGTAAGGCCCCAAACTCAGAGGCTTATGGAACAAGGTGCAGTGATGACTACTACGGCAGCATCTCGCACAGTGCGTTTCATCTGGTCTACACGAAGCAGCAGGGACTGACAGGGAAGGAGGCCGGGGCACTAACAGGACATGGCATACACTGTTGGCTCTAGCTGCCTCCCCTTCTCTTTTCCCAGTACATCCCCTTTCCTCTTCCCTTGAGGCCCAACTGCATTATTTGGTGAGGGAGTCCAGTGTGGTTCTGCCTGCATTCGCTGTGAGTTTGAGGCCTTCTGGTTTCTAATAATCCTACAGCTCCCACCCCAGATAACACCAAGAAGCCACAGAATTGCGCCCTTAATGACTTAATAAAGTCAAAGTATTGATTCAAGATGAAATTCAGCAACCTATTCTGAATTTTCTCACGTTTATAAATCAGCTGAGTGTTGCAGCAGCAGAAGCTTGTCAACAGATCTTTACGATCGGCTCATATGGAGGTGAATCAGCTCTTAGCCTTGCCCTTTTTCCCAGAAACTTGTCCTGTTGCTTCCAAGTATTGGTTATGTAATTCCTCTTGTACACTGGGTGAACAGTGATGATATCTACTGTATTCCATCGTGTATTCACCTTTTCCCTGGGGAGAAACAATCTTTGTATTACAGACAATATACACTAATACTTGACTATTACATTACACATTTAAAATTTAAAAATGGCAGAGCTTTTACAGAATTTGCTACGAAACACATAATTAATAGAAAGGTAAAGAAAATGACCAGTGTTTCTTGGCAGGCATTTCACATTACATTTCCAAAAGGACAAATGATGTTCAGTAACAAATTAGCATTCATTCCCTTTTCAGGCTCCTGAAAATCTGGTTAAGGCAGACACAAATCATCATTTTTCTGTGACTGTTAACCATATGTACATTTCCTTTCTCTCTCCCACTTTTTCCCTTTCTTTGGTTCCTTTCACTTCTTCCTCTTCTCCTCACTTCTCTAGACTAAGGCAAAGGGAAGGTAAATCTGAAACTATTGGTAGATACATAGGTGATTTGCAGTAGATCTGTAAGGAGTTTCAATTCCCAATTGTTTAAACATTATCAGCAGGATTTTTCTATGGAAGGAATAGCAACTATATGCTGATGTACAAAACAAATCCCCTTTCAGATTTTTAAAAGCTGAGTGCATGTGTTTTGCACTTGATTCCAAGTGGCGAATCTTGGGGTTCTGATAAAAAAACAAGGAAGATCCTCCGAGCTTGATATCCGACCATCTCTGTTCTCAATTATTCATAGACTCCTTTTCTAAACTCCCTTTGCTTTCCTTAGCCTATTTTCCTAGTTGGTTCCTTTCCAGATACCTGTTTCATTTACACTTTCTTCTTTAGACTTTTCTGCCTGATCTGCTGCTCTCTAACAATAGTAAACAGACCCTTTTGTGCCAAGTTTGCTGCTTCATTACATTAAGAAAACTCATCCAATCACTACCTGAGAATATAGTGCGGTTTCCATTAAAAATCTTGGCTATTACAATAGAAATTATGCTATAATTCTGGTAATTAATTTTGTTGTGATCTGCATTTCTTAAGAGGGATTCATAATGGTTTTAATCTGCTCCAATATTTTTGCTCACTTACCTCTGTGCTTGACCTCAGTTCTGTAGCATATCCAAACATATTGTTCAGTGGCACCTGATAACAGATAATCTTAATTTAGTGAAAAGAAAATGATTTTGCTTTTTGGAAAATCTGCACTGAGCTTGCCTGCACACATACACTTCACATCAATATTAATGTACTTGTTGTCTCGCTCTGGTTGTTTTAAAAGCATTAACTTTAAAACTGTTCAAAATGTGCATAGTTTGAAATGTTTTACCCATTTACACAATATAAGTTGCATTCCAGAATTCTGTAGATTTCTCTAGTTTTGTATCAAAAATAACATAAACCAATTATGTCCCATTAATAGACTATCAATGCTTAATGATGCAGAAATTGGAAACCTTTGGAATAGTCAGCTAAAGCCTAAATATTGTCTAAAAATTAAGCCAAGACATGCGAGTATGAAGCTTACTCTAAGTTCAGCTGAACTGGAGTCTCTGAATTTAAAGCACATTTAAGATGACCAAAGCAGTGGTTTTGAAGCACTAAAGCACTCAGTATCTTTTGCTATCTAAGCTGTTATCCTCAGCTTGGCTCCAACAACAGAGGGGGAAGGATTCTGTTATCTTGCTCCCTACCCTGCAGGCCCCTGAAAAACTGATCTGTAAAGTGTCTTACAAGTGGAACAGGAAGCTGTAGACAGGAAGAAACAACATTTGTCCAGAAATCTGCCAACACACACACTATTAACACAGAATTGGATCCAATGTGCGTATCTTTAAAATAGCACAATAATTAATTTTAAAACATACTGTTGTGTTGCAATATTCCAGCACAGCTGCCTTCATGTGTGGTTTCTGAAACAATGCAGTGCCTATTTTTCTTAGCTATACTGGGCAGCTTAGCTACACTAATTAGCAACTCCATTCAAGTTAATCCTTTGTCTTATCCTTTAGTTGAAACGTGCACCTTGCAGTGATATCTTCCTTTATGATGTGCTAACTCCCAAACAAAATTTTGAGGAATGAAACCTCAAGCTTCCACATACAGTTAATATAAATCAAACTGGCTTTTACAGGGTTTGTTGTCACTGTCAAATTCCATGGTGTACAGCCACATGAGTGTCCTGGGATGCTGAATTAACTGTTGTGATCACAACTGTACCAGATGGTTGTTCCACACAGTCATGTATCTCTGGCATGGAGGAATTAGACAGCATGACCAGGCTCAGAAAAGGCAGGATAAAAAGGAGAGATCAGTATCTTAATAGTAACTGAAAGAAGGGGAACTCCTCTAAGTACTCTCAAGAAGTAATGTTACAATTGTACTTTTAAAATTTTTTGTGAGGTTCTGTTCTGTTTTATGATAAAGAATGGGTGAAAACTCTGCACACGTACATCAGCATAGATGGTGAAATAGTCTTCTGCTCCATCTTGTCCCGTGATGATGCCATGGCGACGGTTTATTCCTGCAATCACTGCTCCTTGGAATTCAATGGGTGCTACAACTTCCACAGACATAATGGGCTCGAGAATACATACTGATGCAGTATTCATAGCTGGGTCAAAAATAAAATAAGTCAGAATACTTTTACTGTGTCATTTGAATTTGTTCTTACTTAACATTTCAAAATACAACGGAATCATAAATATGCACTCAAACTTCTGTAAACAAGCAGAACTAATTCAGTCTGTTGCATGAATTTCAGTGCATGTGCAGCTATTGGCTGTAGTGAGAATTACTTTGACCAAGTTTTGGAAATCATTCAATAAACTAAAAAAAAACTGGTTAAGGTAATTTTGGATTAACTTAGTTAAATTAACTGCTTATTCAAATTCTGACCAGCTGTCACCAAGTAGATGAAATGTGGAGATTAGTCAATAATATTAAAAAAGATGAGAAGATTAAAGTGAATAGTGCTAAGGAATCAAAGATTGGGTGATCTCTAGATTAAGCAATGTATTTTATTATTTATTCTTACAGGAGATGGTTATCTTGAACTGCAAATATTGCATGATGAAAAATGAAACTGATGTCTTTTTTAGCTATTTAACTAATACTGCATGCATGTGTGTGAACACATAACACACATGTGAGAACCAGTGTGGTGGCGCAGTTAAAATACTCAACTGGGTCTCAGGAGATCTAGGTTCTAGTTCCCACTTGACCAGGAAGTTCACTAGGTGATTTTGGGCCAGTCACTGTCAGTCTAGCCTATCTTACAGGGTCGTTGCGAGGGTAACATGGAAAAAAGGAGGATCATATAAGATGGCCTGGGTTCCTTGCAAGAGTAATAATGGCTGTGAATAAGCATATTTTACACATACATGTGCACATATATACTAGGGGTGGTGGTAAAATCTGAAATGGAGTCAAATGAGTTTGGAGTTCTATGAAACTGACTTGCAGTTTCATCATCGCCCTAGCCCATTCTGACACCTAACATATATGCACATACAAATAATGTCAATACAAGTATGGTAAAGATAGTACAATCATTCATATGACACAGAACTAGTAAACATTCAAAGCAATTATATTCGGCAATAACTTAATTTACATCTACTCTCATTGCTAGCCTTAAATTTTTCCAAAAATAAACACCCTTCTTTGTCTCACATTGGAAAAGCAAAACAAAACGCAGAACATTTATGGGGGAAACCCATTTGATCATTAATGGTTCTTCAGCTGCAATGCTGTAATGACTTTCTTAAATCACCACTCAGTAGTGGATGATAGTAGTACACTTTGCACAGTACAAAAGACAGACAAAATGCCTGTCTGGTCCAGAGGTCTACCATGCACTGTGGAGGACAGAACTGCAGCAGCAAGAGGCAATAACCATTGCAAGGCCAGAAAGCTGAGGCAACAGCAGCCATAACTGGCAGAAATAGCGATGCAGAGATGGGGGAAGCGGCAGATCCCAGGTCAATGCAGGAGAAAAACCGGAAGCAGGTTTGTGCATAGAAGATCAAAGAGCTTCGTCACAGCAAAGAGAAGAGATGTTCACAGGACTGTGGAGGCGAGCAGCTTTAAGGTAATCAGGTCTAGCTGTGGGAGGTTGCTGAAGAAAGTGGCAGAGCTGGGTACAGCTGGAAAGTGAGAGCACTCAATGGACACATTGTAAGGAGAAAGAGAAAACAGAAGGCCTGTGTGGATGAGGCTGAAAACCACCCATCTCTGAAGTGATACCTTGTTTCAGGGCACCTTCCCCAGCTCGGATGAAAGAGATTTCGTTTGAGTCCACCATGTGACTAGCACCATCCTCTAAGACAAACCGCACCCCTGAAATCTTGTGCCCTGTCAAAGGGCCCTTTTCACAGGCTTCACGAAACCCCTGTAAAAGAGATGAACAATCTCAGTCTAAAATGCAGAACCACCCTGAAAACAAGTAGAGAGGAAACCGGAAGCAAAATAGGAATTTGTTGTCAGAATATTATTGGACCAAAAACCTTGTGCCTGAATTGAAAAGAAAACCCCTGAGAGAGCAACCCAGTGCTATGATATCATAAAGAAAATGTTGCATTTTAAGTTGAATGTCCATGATACCCTAACCGTGATGTGTGTTGCAGCAGACTACAAAGATGTATTAGCATTTGGTGGGAATTTAACCCTACAGTGCTCTTGCAAGCAAATTAAAGCTTTCAAAAGTTACTAATGCTTACTTAGTAGACTGGAACCCAATTCCTGAACACACAGACTTGCAAGGAAATCTCACTGATTTCCATGGAAACACTCTCCAAAGTAAGTGTATCTTTGGCTTTAGCCAACAGAAGCTAAGAAAGGATGAAACAAAAAATACAGATGATCTGGGTTCTAGTCCCCACTCAGCCATGGAGCCAACTGGGTGACTTTGGGCCAGTCACAGACTCTCAGCCCAACCTACCTCACAGGGTTGTTGTTGTGGGGATAAGATGGAGGAGGAGATGTACGCTGCCTTGAGCCTTTTGTAGGAAAAAGGCAGGATATAAATCGAAAAATAAATAAATAAATATCTGAAATACCTAAATAAATACCTTTGCTGAAGCTTCACTGGCTCTCGATCTTCAAAACAGACCAAGGCCAAGACAACAAAAACTTCCTCATGGAAAGCCTCACTGAGGTCAGAAACTTACCACTTTGTAAGAGAATTCTGGTTATCCTAACAACAGGAACTTCTCATTTAGGTCAATAGCTTAGCTAAGCCCTTGCTATCACCAAATTTTGCTTATTTAAACAGAGAGGCTAAAAATCAAAAAGGGGTTAGCACTACAACTGCATCAGCATATGTTGGATTGCTGTAATTTGGACAGTTTCTTGGAAGTTTATCAACTTCCTTCCACTGCCACTGTGGATGCAATTCTAACAAAGGTTTTCTGCAAACCATCATTTTTAAGTCAGGAGCCAGCCTTAAAGACACACACACTTGCTGCTTACTTTTCCTGTGCACAGCAAATACCTGCTCTCTGCCAATGGCAGAGTTGCCAGTATCTCAGCCACACAGGTGTGCTGGTAAACATGTTAGCTCATAACCATAACATGCTTGCTCACTTTGAACCACGCTCCCAAACTTTAGTTTACAGAAGATGCCATCAATGCCCGTGCATGTTTACCATGAAAGGGGTAAAGTGTAACCTTACACAAATGTATTTTATAACAGAGATGTCTTATTAGAAGTTAGCAAGCAGTTCTGCTTGCTTGTTCTTAGCAATGCACTGCTGAATACTGAGAGTAAGGCACTGCTGGAAAGTGTTCTGTATGTGTGTGCATCCCTTCAAAGGAAAGAATCCATTGCTATGTCTGTGTTTCATCACATGAGGGTGCTTTCAAAAACGAGTCAACATGGAAGGGCAAGGATTTCTTATTTTGTGATAACAGTGAAAGCCACAAGGGCTCAGCTCTGGTTTCTTCAAGTATATGGCACAGAGTACTTAGATAATTTACTCTGGGAAGACCTTTGGGAAGGGCCTGAAAGCAGAAGGCAGAACTGAAGGGGCTTTGCTTCTGCCTGAGCTGCCCAAAAAGAGGTACCATAAATCCCCAACAGCAATTGATTGGCTTGACAAAATATCCATTTCCATTTGGGGTTCTGTCAAAACTGCATCACCTTAAGATGTGGATTAAAAGATGTGGACATGCCCAGTTTGGTATATTATATACATTACCTTTTCAATAGCTGGCACAAACTGCTTTGGGACATTTGTTCCAAGTGTTCTGTCATCAAATTCCAATTTGGTGTAGTTCTCTGGCTCCAAAGGCTCTAGATATCCCGTCACTTTTCCAAACTGACCTGCCCCACCAGACTGCTTCTTATGAGTGAAGTCAAACCTGCAAAAAACAAACAGTGTGACTCTGCAATAAGTGTAACTATCTATACAGTTTGTGTAATACCCACACAGGGAATGATGCAACTGACACTGCTGTTCTTCTGCCTCAAAACCCTGGCCTTTAGGTTTACAGGCACGGTCCTCTCCTTCTCAACCCAGTGCTGCTTCATCCATTGAGCATGGGCTTCCTCCATCCCAACAAAACAATTTCTTTTTCTTGTATAGTGGACAAAGCACACCCTGACCCAGGCTCTACAAGGAGACAATAACCAGCCATTTTCAAAATGAGGGTAGTGTTTTTTGTATTGTTCTCTTTCACAGAAATAGGTGCAGAGGTTCCTGATTCACACTGAGGTTCTCCCATGTGATACTTTATGCTAGCTGGCAAATAATTAGCCAGTCCACATGCTTGCCTCTGCAATCAAACATTGCCATAGCAATTTTCCTACACTCTGATAAGCCCCATGCAGCTCTGTCCTAATTAGAGGGAGAGTCTTACAAATAACTTTCCAATAGCTAAAGGAACAGTCATAAAATTTCACTGCACTTTAGGCAGCCCAGGAAAGGAAGAAGGAAAGGAAGTCTGAGGTGTACTTTCTGGAAGAGAGATGCAGGTAATGGCATAGTTTGCCACTACCTTTGTGGGTGATGGCATAGCTTGCCACTTAACCAAGAGTTACCTATGAGTTCTTACTCCTGGTTGGTGCAAATAAGATTTGTATTTGTTAAAATGTGGACTTTTCCTCAAGTTGTCAAATGACTGAAGTATAGTCATACAAGAATTAATTCTTGTACACTCATACAAAAAGTAATTTATGCTGAATTGATCCTAAAACAAAGAATAGCTATGTAGGAACCTTGTTTGTGATCGAGAAAATATGCACATATTGCAACAGGCACCCTTTCAGAAGAGGCATTCCCCCTCAGTGTGAGAAGATATGGAACAGATTTGAAGTGATACTGCTGAGGCAGAACTGCTCTGCCCAATTACAGCCGACACATTGGCAAGGGTCAGCAACTAAAAGTGATGGTGCTTGATTATTAGGACCAAATTCTACCTTACACTGAAATGGGTATGAAAAGGCTGCATTTAACCTTATACTCTTAGGGTGCAATCCACTGAGGAAGGCTTCAGGTCTTCAGACATCCTATGCAGAACAGGAGTACAGAAGTATTTACACTTCCACATTCTTCCTGCCCTGAAAACCAGCTATACAGCAAGGAGGTGCTGTCCTCTATAGGAACAGAAGGAGGCTAAAGTATAGGTAGGATATGCCATATCCTGGCGGACTCCCTCTTTTCCCCACCCCACCTTGTGGAACATCTTTACCCCTTCTTTCAGGTCACTCTCATGAGCCCCAAGATGCAGCTTTGCAGTTCCTTTGTGCCAGATGCAAGGGAGGGGAGAGCAATCTGAGTATGAATCCGCAGCTCCAAGGTCAGATCTCTTTTCCTGCCTCAAAGCTGGGAATCTGAGTGATCTAGTGGCTCACTAGACTCTACCCATCTGCTGCTTGTTTTTCCAGTTGTTTTACTTCAGAACCACTTGTTACAGTGTAGCATATAAATAACACCAATAAATTGCTAAAGTACTGAACTGACAGTTCCTTTGCAACCTGAACTTCTTGACTACACCAGATGCAGTCTGATCTTCCAACAGTCTGATGCAGTCCAACACATACACTGGAGGAAAGTTCCACTAAGTTTATTAAGATTTACTTCCTGGAATGCATGCAGCTTTACTAAAACAAAAAATACTTCCGGGTGATTTCTAAATGAGCATGTTTAGGATTTGGTACTCTCCAAAGTTGCTTTCCCCAGTCTGGTGCACTGCAGGTACTCTGGACTACAATTCCCAGCATTTCTAACTGGTTGGGAGTTAAGGGTAGAAGCTCTCAGTGCTGGGCAAGCTGCACTGAGCACCCCAGAGGAAAGTTCAGTGAGGTGCGCCTCCTAGAATGCATGCTGTTTTAGAAGTCACGGGAGTAAGAAATATCATAAGTCGACTAAAGTGGGGATTTAGCATTGTGCTTAGGATCTGGGTATCTCTCTCTAACGGGGCCAAAGCACTCTGGCTGCAGTCCCATGCAGACTTCCTTCTGAATAAGTTCCCATCGATTCTCACAAACATGAACAGTCCTGGCACTCCTGCTGTCCAAGATTTTTGGCCCGTGGATGGCGTGGGTCATTTCAGCCCCACCCGCCAGAGCGCCTTCCAGCCCTAGCCTAGCTCCGCGGCGGTCTGCGCGGGAGCCCGCCCCAGATGCGGCGCTTAGGCGGGCAGATGCGGCGCCCCGGCGCCCCAGCAGCCTCTGCTCTGCTCGCTCTCCTCCTCCTTCCTGGTTCTCTTTCGCCGGCGGGACAAGCGACCATATTGCGCGCGGCGCCCGCCACCGATCCAGTCCAGCCCGGCCCGGCCGACCCTTCCGCCTCGCCGGAGAGGAGCGACCAGCGCCGCCGCCTCTTCGAGCAACCTCCGGAGCGCCCCGGGGCCGCGCCCATGGAGATCCCGCCGTCCCATTACCCGGCCACCAGGGCGGCCGACGTGGTGGAGAACTACATCAACTACCAGCACGGCAGCCCCAACAAGATCTTCGCGGTGGGGGAGGTGCACCACGCCAGCCGAGAGGTGAGCACCTGGCGGGGCGCGGGCGCCCCCGACTCTGGTTGCGCGCTCCCTGGAAGGCGCCCGTGCAGCTCGGGGGGAGCCGCCTCCCCAAAAGGCTGCCACGACCGGGGCTGCTTAGCGGCACCAGAGGAAGCGGCAAGCCTGATAAAAGATGAGAGGCGAGCGGCTGACGCCTGGGATTCAGTAAACGGGGCGGGGGATGCGGGATCCTCCACTTCTTTCTCCTGGTGCGAAAGGGCCACAATTTCGGCTCTGCCGCCTCCTCTTTCTTGCTGGACCAACTACTACGGGCTCAAACAGGCACGCACGCCGCTCACACTGCCCCTTCATCCAGGACTGCAAGCATCCCTCGGTGCTCGCTTCTCAAAGGCACTGAAAACCCTGGCAGAGCTCCGAGCCACCGCCATTGCTGGCAAAAGAAGGCAAAGCCAGGCGGCTCCAAAGCTGTCTCTTCCCTTGTCGGGCTTGCCACACGGTCTTCAAGCCAAAGGCCACTGAGCCCCAATGAGCAGTAATGTACACAATTCTGATGAGCTGAAGACTTCGGCCCGAAGACACAGTTTGCCCCAAGCCATCCTGTTAAAGATTTAGCTATTATAATCTTCCTCTAGGTGTCCCCGGTTTCCCTGCCTCACACACCCTTCAATTACATGCAGAAGAAAATAAAAACTGGCACTGTAGCATTGCTTTTGCTTTACTCCTCGAAAGGGAATAAAGTAAATGCCTAACAGATGGAAGCCTGATCGTTGCTTTTGTTTGCTCTCCACCCATAACAGTTAATCTAAAACAGCACAGTCCTGATTTTACCACCCCACAAACTGCAACCAATACAGAAGTGCTTTAAACATCCCTTGCATGGCAAATAAGCATCAAATTACTCTCCCCCCCCCGCCCGAAAAAGAATTCCCGTTGCTTCTTTTGCAACTATAGCCAGCTATAAGGCATATGCCATTCCCCAAACTGAGGCCCTCCAGACACTTTTGACTGCAAGTCCCATCATTCACAAGCACTGGCAGTGCTACCTGAATCAAATTCTTTTTTCACTCAGGACATTCCGGGCATTGGACATAAATACCGCCTGAAGTTTGCAATGGAAGAAACCCTGAAGAAAGTAAGTTCTGGTTCTTTGTTTATTGTCAGTCCGGATTTTTTAAAACAGCTTTCTAATTGCACATATATTTCCTGACAGGCCTTTTTTCAGATATAACCCACAAGGAAACCACTCCCTAAACAAAGGAAAGGCAGAAAGTCCACAAAATATATACTTGGCTTTCTGTTAATAGCTCTCTAAGTGCCCTAATCCTAAAACCACTTATATTGTGGGAGGAGCCTGAGCATTACCAGCTATGTAGAAGATAAATGGGACAGGAACTGCCCTCTGTGTAAATCACATTAAAAGTTTAAACTTAAAGTTTCAATGAAAATCTAAGCTGATGTTGTTAGTTCAAACAGTTATGCTCACCACCTGATGACTTAAATGTATGAACTGACTGTTGCAGATGGAAATTTCACAACCTCCTGCATTAGCTCCAAGTCTGCAGAAGTCCTCAAGCAATATACATATTTACTGATTAGCAAGTAAGAGTAGGGTCTGCATGCAAGCAACCCCTTTTTAACAAAAACATTCCTTACTGCCAGTAACTTACAATTTCAAGAGAGTATATTTTAACTCTTGATAACCAGGTGTCTGCCTTTACCTACACACCCCTTGAATTAATGAGCGGCATCCATGGAATCAGTTCCTGTTAACATAGGATCCTCAGATAGGATGTGCAAGCTATAGTATTCTGAAAATGTTCTTTTTATTTCTTACATAAATGGTGTTGGTACGTGTTGCCAGGGACGGGACAGCACTGCAGATTAAATCACCTAGCACAGGGTGTATCTACAAAATGAGAAGACTGTTACATTTCATTTCTATATAATCCCCATCCACAACAACTGAAGAATGGAGGAGGGGAAGAATGTGTATTTGGCAATGTTCCTGAATTGAGAACTGCCTACATTTATGTGGAACATGCAGGGTTCAAGAAAGGATTTGAGTAAGGGATGTGTATGGACAATCTTGAGAACAAAACGGCTTCCATATAACTTGTTCAGGTGGTATCAGGCTTACAGTAAAAAGAAGCCTCAGCTGCAAATGTACTTCTCTTCAGAATATGCCAGCATTTTGTAATGATTTTAAACTTTTCTGATCATTTTTGCAATAGGAGCCTCCTGTGAACTGCACAGCTGAGATTCTTTATCATCATGGTGACCCACATGTTGCTCCAGAAGTGCATTATACCGTGGAAGGGGAGTTTGGGACAAATACAGAACAAGCAGATAACAAATTTTACAACAGAATCAAGAACCTGCCAGAACCATTAGAGGAACAAAATATCCCAGGTTAAAAAAGGGTGTAATTTTCATTATTAATGTTAAACTGAACAACATTAGCTATTTCAGAATTAGTCAATCGCAAGTGGAATATGCAACAAGTGTACCTGTTCTGCTAACAAGGGTGCTGTTTCTCAGAGTTCTAACCAGCCATTTTCTCCAAGCAGGGCACTAGTCTCTTTGGCCTCAGGCTTCCTATTTTTCTTTTCCAGCTGACACTCCAGATGCTGTCACTACCCAGCAAGCACAAATACTGTTTAGTTGGCCTTGTTAGGTAGAGTTTTAAAAACAGATTTTGGTTTCTGAAGCATGCTAATAACTTCCCTGTTGTTTCTCAGTGGCTCCATTTTAATCAACACTATATGAGTGTATTATTAGAGGGACTCTGCTTGAAAACAAGCTGACATTTTTTAAAGTGAAGGATAGGTAACGTTTCTTCACTTGGGTACAAAGATGTTCATTAGTAATAATGTAATCTCTTTCAATTCTAAAAATGTCCAAGTTAGTTGATATATTTAAAAAAAACACAAAAGGCAAGAGTACAAGTCCTTGAGGGCTGCTTTGGTACTCTGTTTGGTACACAACCCCCAAGTCTCTTAGGCCATCCCAATCTTTGGCTTTGCTGGGTTTAATTATCTAGTGCAGCAAGGTGGACTTCAGTATCTAGTTCCACTAACAAAAACAAGCTGACAGTAGAGGCAAAAGGTGACACAGAAACCCTTGGTGCAGCATCCTTACTGCTAGCTGTGACTCTGCTTTAAACCAGCTGCAATTAGTCATTACTCGGCAACAGCAGAATGTAAACATGACACTTACTGGCTTATTCAGTTATGCTCTCAGATTTACAAATTAGTTTAAAAACATACAGCATCATATGATTTGAGATGACTGAGCAGGCTGCACAACCAAAAGAAATTGTAATGTATTTCAGCAAGTATCCAACCATGCTGGCCAGTTCTACAATATTTTCAACCCAAGCCACAGGATTGTGAAATTAAAGAGTAAAAGAATAAGTTTTGGCAGATATAAGTCCAAAGCTGGAGGATAAAAAAAGTTCAGCAGTAGTCAGAGGTAATGTAAATAAAGGGCACAGCCCTGTGAAGTTGTTGCACATTCAAAGCACTGACTTTCAGGCTTCTGAGGGGTCAATGCCCCTTTAGTTTTCCTCTGGGTGGGTCTCAGAGCACATCTAGAAGAGGGCTGCTGCTAGGGGAGGCATTGGGGCTGGAAAGGCAATGAAAATTTGGTCTCTCCCCTCTCTCTGCACTGGAACACACCCTTTTGACCTCTATAAGGTCCTCCAAGGCTCTTCTGACCTCAAAAAACAGGTGCCTCAGGGGAGTGGGAAGGATCAGATTTTGGACTCTCTCACCCAAAGCTGGAGCATTGTCTATAATTTTTGAAGGGAGAAATCTGAAACATTCCATGATCCTCTAGGATATTGTCTATTTCTTGCCCTTCATATCTCTGACAGCACTGATTATTTTTCTCCTTCTTACACATAACATCTGCTAATTTAAGAGAATATTCTATGCATATGTGGTAGGTGACTCTGATCCACAAAAGCTTAGGTCATACTCAGGTCTTTAAAATGCCACAATACTCTTTGCTGGTTTGCAACAGACTGACATGACTACTTATCTGGAAAATATATTCAATGTTTCAAGTATCCTACATGTGCAAAACCCTTGAATCTAGTACAGAATTTGGAGACACTTTGCTTCCATTTTTAACACAGCAAGCTCGTACAAATTATGTATGTTTGGGATGAAGTACACAGCATGCACATAAAGTTCTAGCATGTGAACATCGGACTTGTGCAGCTAGCATAGCTGTGGTTCTCTTTGAGATGACTCCTTGTCATCACACCCTAACTATGCAATTTCAGTACAGCAGACCATGCAACTTGCGCAAACCAGTGCAAGACACATGTATTTGCATATCGTTTGTTTAACTATAAAACATCCTCTTTTGGTAGCACAGAATTGGAATATACAGTGCGTGGAACCAAATCTTTAAAACCAAACAAAACTCTTACAATTTTCACCAGTTCAATACAAACTTTGTTTCTGTTGCCAGACAGCTATGGAAATATGCCTGCAGAAATGGAGCCTATTAAGCATTTAGCCTGGGTTGCCTGTGGCTACATAATATGGCAAAATTCAACTGAAGACACCTGGTACAAAATGGTGAAAATTCAAAGTGTCAAGCAAGTGGTAAGTAAGCTCCACTCTTAAGTGACTTTCATTAAGTGTTCTTCAAAAACGCTTTTCAAACATTGTTGTGTGGGAAATAATCTGTGTACCAACCTAAGCTATGCACACAACGGCTGATACCCCTCCGCACTGCAATTAATTAGGTTAGCCAAATAATACAGGGTCTCTTCTGCTCAAGAATCTTCAGATATGAGTTATACTTGACTAAAAAAGTAAGAGTTAAGTTTTCCTAAGCTTAACACATTTCTAGGGACAGCAAAACCAGTCCCCCACCCCTCCCTGCTCCTCGGCCTTTGCTTACCAAAGTGTCCAAACACAGGACCAGGTTGCAAGATTAAAATGAGCTGGACTGGCTTATTTAACTTAGAACATGTCCAGGGTATTATTTCCATCATCACTGCCTAAGCATAGCTTGTCATGTTATCCAAACCTGGGCAAAAGAGCTTGTTGTAGGAGGAAACAACACTCTAATAGTCATACAGCAGCCAATGGGTTACTGGAAGGTCCTTTCTTTCTCCAATTAGCCAGGAACCTGGGTTTGGACAGCACAAGCAGCTACACCTGGGTGATTATGGCAGTTGCACCCAATATGCACCACAATTTGAATAAGTCATAGTGGTTTATTCTGATAACATGAACCTGGTTACAGTCTTCCTTAAATTGACAAGGCTCACTATGAATTGTTCCTTATCAACAAGAACTAAAAGACAAGAACTATTTGTTCAGGTGTTCCATTCAAGGATAAATTTCAACCTCAGGAGTGCTCTCATCTCCCTATTGGGGCCTCCGAATTTTAAACATGTATACTTTTTTGAGGGACTGCACAAGTGCTTCTGAAGAAAATGCATTCAGATAAACATGATACAGCCCAGTTCACTGCATTTTCCCCAAATGGAGGATATACATGAAAGTGCAAGTTTTTACTGTAGTAACAGCATGTTTCTTTCAGGAAGAACTATTTCAGTATTTCTTAAATAGAACACTTCTGATTATTCTTGTGCTGCATATTTTAGACGCTATTTCATTTATGGAGCTGTGGGTTTGTTCAATGTATTTCTGAATCATATATATTCCTTCATCATGGTAGCTATAGCTGTTTTTTGGAAAAAAAAACATGTAAATTTTTTTAAAAATCTCTGTTGACAATAATATGCTGGGCAACAGTATAAGGAATGTAAAAACCCATAGCATTAAAAGCAACCATGCTAGTAGGGTTATCCTGAATGCATTATAAATCTGTCCATTACACTTTCTGCAGCATACTGTCTTTTTAGAGATCTTCAGTTCCATTACTTCTTACCAAACCCTAAAATATCTGTGATCACAAGAATTCAGACCACTGGAGGGTAAGGAAAGAATCTACATAGTAATTAAATCCCTAGATGCAATGAGCAATGAATCAGTTCTACCCTGTCAAATTGTTTATGGAAGCAAGAGTATTTGAAAAAAATACAAAATGCCATCCAGTTGTTTCAGAAACTAGATTATTTAAACTACTTTGTGGGTTTACTTTCCAGATGTTATGTGGTTAAATGAAAGTTAGGAGGGAGAAAATAGGTCTCCCATGTTTATTCAGCCCTCTAGTATTTTATGCTTGTTAAAGACATTTGAAATTAATTAGCTATGTTTGAAAGACTGCCATACTTACTAAAGTCAAGAGTATTTTCCCCATTTTGTTGGTTTCAGAAAAGAAATGATGATTACCTTGAATTTTCCTATGTGGTTTTAATCCACAATATTGTCTCCCAGGTAAGTAACAACATTGTAAACATTAAAGACTAATGTGGGAGTGGGGTGGAGGCAAGACTTTTGTCTGCAAACAGGGAAATGTTAGCACAGTAAATCCACAAAAAGTCAGAGACACAGCTAGATGGTAGAAGAGGAGAACACATAAAAAAGAGCACCAGAGCCTGGGAGCAGGACCATAGGCCAAACTAAGAATCTCATAGGAATCCCTAGTTCCTATGCCTGCTGTGCAGCACAGCAGAAAGGTGAGCAGTCTGAAAAGTGAGATGATGCCACTGTCCATGTCTGCAGGCAGATTACAACCCTGATTCAAGAAGAGGACTAAGGTTCCAGAGTTGTACATATGCCTTGATTCAGAGGGAGAGGGAAAACTTCCCAAATGCATATACAGCAACCGAATTCAGCTTCCTGAGAATGCTTGCACACACTTTTACAATAAAAGAGTACCAATGCTCTGAGTTCCATGGCTGCAAATATGAATATGAAAATGAGTCATTCATGCTTGTTGCACTGTCAGAAGCAAAAGGAGGAACTGAATAAGACGTCTAAGGCCAGCTGACAAACCAGAATGTATCAACCAAGTTAAGCAAAATGCACAAGTAAAAAAAAAAAAAAATTACAATTCTGAATAAATTATACAGGTCATTGAATTCCCCAGTTCCCACACTGTAAAGGTAATTTGGTTTGAGTTAGCTCAAAGCATGCAGCAAAACCTAATGGCAAAATAAGGATTTTCCTATAAATCTATTTCAGCAAGAAATTGCACATGAGAGATCAGTCTTATACTGCAACCCACTGGTTAGAAAAAAAATCAGGAAACAGATTACCTACATACTGCCAATGAGAATGCAACACAAAGTCAGAACTATGAGTGAGGTCCCACAGAAAGATATAAATACTATTCTCAAATGCCAAAAGAACAAAATGCACAGAGGCTGACTCAGGGCACAACTCTATACTTGACTAGTCAGGAAACAAGTGCCAGAATGCCCCAGCCTGCATAAGGGGCTGTTTCTTTTATTTTTCCAGTTTAAATGTGCATGTGATTGTACCTTGAGTGGCACTGCCAGCTTCCTCTTGTAATGTACTCTGCAGCAGAAGTACAGGCTACCAAATGAGGCCGTCTTACTATGGACTATGATTATGTATTAACTATGAACATGTTTGCCTTACACTTTGAAAAGCCTACTTTCAAACAGCACATGGCATTACTTGGCATTGCTTCAACAAAACTATTTCCTCCCATTTCTGTCATTCATATTCTGAGCTATCGTGATCTACAATTCACCACACTTAACATATGAGTAGGAAAAGACAAGTGAGAGGAGGATGAAAGAAATATGACCTGACACAAATTGAATGGAGTGAGCAAAGCATTACTTTTGCCCAGAGATGAAGCACAGTTTCCTGCTTTCTCTAATCTTGGTTTTTTTTTTCCCCTTCTCATACGTGGTACTTTTTATCCACAGGAAATTATTCCTTGGCACATGCAAGTTCTATGGCATCCACAACATGGAGTGAAAGTAACGCGGAATAGCCACCAGCCGAAACGTGCAGCACATGAATAGCAACATGGCTTCACGTTACTCTTAGAGATCATTAAAATAGTCCTTAAGGTAACTGTATAGAACTAGAAGAACACCTGTGTAACAAACAAGCTGACTCAGGTCCAGAAACTTTGTCAATTCCATGTGTATTGTAAGAACCAAAGCAAATGGTTTGGTGGCTCTTGCAGGACTGAATACTTACGGTACTGATGCCAAAATGCTCTCTCTAAAGGCCACTTTAGGTTTTCCAGTAACACAGGGGCAACCATATTCTCTTTCCATTCGCTAGATTAAAAAGCACAAAAAATATAATGATTAAACATGCTAACAAACATGTATGTTCCTAGCTAAGGAACCCAATGAATTAATCTTGTCACTTAGTATTACAAGTAAAAATACTATTTTTTCAGTAGAAAATGTTTCAATTAAAATTGATTTTTGGTAGTTAACTAGAACTACTTAGATAACCCTGTAGACACCTCTGCTTCATATACAGATTTTTAAAAAATAATGCTTTAATCTAGAAACGTAACTGCAAAAAAAAAAGAATCCTCAAGAAAACTTTATGAATTATTACTACAAGAAATTGCTTGCATTAATCCCATGGCAGGACTTGGACCAGCATTATGTGATTTATATCATACATATGACCAGATACGCAACCAGCAAACATAGCTGGGCAGTAACATGCTGAACTAAAGAAATGATTTTTTCAAATGAGACTCAACATCACAGTGTACCAGTGTAGGTATGACAATCACCTGAGCATAGATTTCCAGATGCAGTTCTCCCATTCCTGAAACAACAGTCTCTTTACTCTCTGTGTCAAAATAGATTCGGAAGGTGGGATCTTCCCTTGTGAAGCGGTTAATTCCTTTCGAAAACTTATCCAAATCATTCTAGAAGACAACAAAATCTTGAGGGTAAATCAGTGTTTTCTCAATCATTTAATAATCAATAGTCAAAATAGGTGAGTGTCCAGTGAAACCCAACAACATGGAGTTGGCAGTTTCTGTAAAATACAAGCTATCCATGTATGGGCTTCAGAGCATCACAAACAGAGAATGTCTCACTCAGGGCTGTGTTAACTTTAGTAAAAACATACCTGGAACTCACTTTCACACTTTCACTCACTCATTCTCTCTCTGTCTCTTTCTTACTTACACACAAAAACTCACTCACTCTCTCTGTTGGCTAAGGCAACAAGCCTATCAAAACTGTGTAGATGGGAAGATTTCATACTAGAACATGTGATTTAGTTACTTCTTAACAGAAACAGAAAGTGCAATAAATAACTAAGTTCACAGCATTTCTTCCACAATGTAGAACTATTTTTTTATATTGATCTTTTCCTACTGGCAAACTCACACTCCTACCTTGTTGGCTGGCTTCATTGCTACTGAAATGACAGGATCAGGGACATGAATAGATTCCTATAGAATGTAAAAGAAAATCACTACAAAGAACATTGATAAAACTGCTGAAGATGATCTTTGCATAATGCTTATTTACACTCACCCCGATGTATAGTCAAAAACTTTACACAACTTTCATTTAAAAGATGTTTACTAGATTGCCTTCAGATTTCCTCTTTGCAAGATGAACACACATACTTCTGGGCAAAATTTGGGCCAGGTTTAACTGTGACAGTATCTGTCAAACCACAGCATATTAGAACAAAAATGTTTCAAAGCTCTCCCTTTCCATTACTACAATTTTTCAGGATTTGTTAAACCAGTTTTCCACTAGAGAACCTGATCCTGTGGAGTCCAAGATTTAAAGCACAGTTTCACAATTTGAAGATAACGGTCAGGTTCACACAACACATTAAGCCTTAAATTTAGGCTTAAATTTAGCAAGGCTCCTACAACTGTGCCAACACATAATCAGGTACAGTGGAAGTCTGGAGGCACTAACTGCCCCTCAGCCTTCCTGCAGGAGGGGCACTGCAGGAGCATCAAGGGAAGTGAAGCAGGGATTGCTGACAGCCCTCATCCTAACTCATGAATAGACTAGTTAGTACTGTCTCCTTTTTCCTGCAGTTCCTGCCTGCCATTTCAGGATGGTGGGAGCAAGGAAACTGTTCCAACCAGACTGGAGTACCTCATCCACCATTCAAAAGGCTCTTTGCTGGGATTGGTGGCAAATTGTACTGTGCCCCACTTGCAACAGTAATTGCATAGCAGCAGCAGCAGCAATTAGATGTGTGTGTGTACACACACTGTTTGGCTTCCTTTAGAGGAGGCCAAGCAGAATGCTATTGTAGCATGGAAAGCCTCTGACAAGTACTCCCAAGTGTCACTGCTTGAGCAAAGCAACAACCGTTTTGGCTACTCAAAGCTTAAACCATCATCCAAGATCAGATGACCCTTTAAACCCAGAGGTGGCTTATAAACTCTACATCAAGCTACAGTGTTGCAGGGTGGTTTATAAGCCCAGTAGCTGGGCTTATAATTATTCCTTGGGAAGTGCTCTGGGTTTGGACAACACACTAAGCCACCTGGGTGTATAGACTGTAATGGGTAACTGATTAAATAATAAATTCCCAAACTACTACATTCTGATGCGCAAAAGCAAAGTGTGTAAGCTCTGGTTTATTAGGCTGAGACTGATGTGTTTGAACTGGGCCCAGTAGTGTCTATATTATGTACATATACAAAATTGTATCACATACTGTGGTTTTGAGAAACAACCCTAAAAATGTAAGAGGTGTGAATTCAACATATATTTACCATGGAGATATCCTTGTTAGAAAAGTGGGACTAGTTGTACCATTCTGCTAGGTGTTCATAGGCTCTGCACAAACCTAATTTGTTTATATTTACTGCTAAACACTCATCTATTTGCAAACAATGCAAAGTATTTCCTTTGCTGACAAGTATGACTGCATTCACCTCATGCAGGGCTTGGATGACCATACCCACTCAAACCATATTTTATTTCTAACATTTTATCTGGGGTGAGCAAGTTTTAGAGGAAAAAATGGAAGCGGATTCAGATAAAGCCTTTGCTCAATAACCATGGAATTCTTCTGATTTGCCCAGTTGAAGGGGAGGAGAGACGTCTTAAGCCCGCTTCCAATTCCTCCTCTTTACCCCCCTGCCAATCCAATCGAATGCTGGAGGTGAATGGTCTCCTAAAATGAGGCATTCAAATATCTCCCTTCTGGAGAGTATCAAAATAAAATTTTATGCATAAGAGAACCTAACACTGTCACAGTGAAAGCAAACATGCAGTGGTATTCATTATCTTGTATATTTGTGATTATGCCCTTTCATAGCTGGAGAACTTATAATAGTCTAAGCATAGATATTGTTATGCATTTGTTTTAAAAAGTTTGTAATAGCTGTAAAATCATTCCAAAAATAAAAGTGCCTTCCCCCGCTCCAAATTAAAAAGTTTATTTTGTAAGGGTGGCATTTATACTGTGATGAAAAATTGGGATAGTTTTTCAAAATTAATAAAGAAAGATATAGTAGTTAAACTATGGGGGAACTTACCATGGATAGTTCAACGTTAGCTTTATTAGTGAATGTATCACCGCTAGCACAGTCAATGCCAAACAATGCACAGATATCTCCTGCATAAGCTTGTTCTACATCCTACGAAAACAAAGAGTATTTAGGTTCATTTAACAGCTCTGGACAAGAATAGATATTCATAGAAATGGCAGGGAAGATCTAATACTTTGGTTTCAAGTGAAACCCACTTGTAGTATCAGGTAGGTAGGTAGACAGAATAGGCTTATTGAACAGCAGCTGAACAGTTCTACCAACAGTGATAAGGTTCCCTACATATACCTTCAAAGTCTGTCCCTGATTGCCTGATAAAAGTTCACCTAAAAGTATAATCTTTTGCTTGAAGGAAACTGTTCCAGTGTTTCTCAAAGGCAGTTACCAACGGAAGTGAGTAGTCTTGTACTGTAAAAAGTACATTAATCCCATTAATCTATTTAACAGCATCATAAAATCCACTGGTAAATAACAATGTTTGCAGGTAATAATGTGTGCACGATTGGGGTTTTCAGGTTGAGAAACATGGCCTTTGTTATTTTCAGAGCAAGAAACACTGGTAAAATGTCCATTCTTTACTGGCATATGCCAGTAGTATACAGTAAGAGAGGCACAAGCTGACTAGCCCCAACCCATCTCAGACAGAGGCTCTCTTTTTCCTGCCAAGTCACCCAATGCTTAAGTTAATTAAAATGGGTAAGAATGCAGAAATTAATCAAGTAATGAGAAGCTTCCCAACAGCATAAGCAACTATTTTTTTTAAAAATGGAAGTTTTTATTTAAATCAGTTCTAAAATAAAATGCTTTTTCGGAAAAAAATCTATCTGTTTAAGATGCATTATAGTCCAAAGGTTGTTCATCATGAAGTTAGGATTAGTTTTTAATTACATAGCATGAAGCTGTATATTCATGCAATGTTGGTAAATGAATTCCATTAATCCATTCACAATGTCATGCTCTTCCAGAAGTTTCTGTAAGATTACTCGGCAATTTCTCTCTCTAGAAGATATTATCACAGATGGTTGGTTTTACAGTTCTCAAAACTGTGAATTTATGTCTGTAGAGATCACATGCCTCTTCTTACAGGAAAAATGTTATAAAATAAACATGCAGAGCTGAAAAAAAGACCTTAATCCCATTGTTTCTTTGCAAATTTATGTACAGAGAATCAACCTCTTACCTCTTAAGGGCTAAGTTTCAAAAAAATCAGCAAATAGAAGATTGTTGGGAGTGGAATAGATCTGTACAAGAAGCTAAGTGTGTGGGGGGGGGAGGGCAAGCTGTAAACATTCAAGGAAAACCTTTTCAGCAGAATACTCCACAAGAGGCTGGATGTGGGTTTTATCATATTATTTCCCTGGAAGAGAAAGCCTATAATGGCAGCAGGCCGGAAAAGAGATCCAGATTGGGAATATTTTAATAAAGTTCCTCTAATTATGGGTAAGGCAAGCATTCATGCAAATTACATAGAAAAGCATGATTTAAGTCTAGTCTTACTGACTAGTGATTTAAATCAATTTGATTAAATCATAACCACCTGGTGTTCAGAAACTTGCATTTCAGGAAAAGCCCTGTTATCAGCCACAATTCTTAAGGTGGAATTAACTCTTAATATTGAAATATCAGGAAATTCAGAGACAGCCCTATGCCAATGGTCAACCAAATTGAAGAATCACATTTCTTTTTCCTGCCCCAAGAAAAAGAGCACCCAAACTGATCTAATTTTCAGGCATTATTTTTTAAAGCCATAGCATTTGAAGGCAAATTCTATAGAAGTAAATCAATTTGGAGTCCTGCAATTAGACAGTTTCAATCCTTGAAACAAAGATCTTCACGTTTTGCAAAGAAAGTAAGTGTTACCAGACAGTGGGTGGGGGCAGTTTCCTTAAACAAAAAAGTCTTTAAATAAAAAGGGGGAACAGGTAGGGAAGGATAGGATAAATCAGGGCAGAGAGTATTGTAAAACCTTCTGAGAAGCGTTGGCAGCATTTGTTAAAAAACGTCTTATTTTGACTGCAGCAAGGGCAGAGGAATCCACTGTCACACAAGGTGGGCAGGTTTCTTTGGTCAGAGGTTTTAAAGGAGAGGCTGGATAGCCATCTGTCGAGGATGCTGTAGATTCTTTGCACTAGTAGAAGCTTGGACCAAATGATCTCTGAGGCACCTCCCAGCTATAATAGGTCACCAACAGTAATTCCTACTGCTGGCTCAAAGCAATATTGTTTGGAGAACAGGCAAACCTATTTGTCCGCAGCATGAACAATGCTCATTTGCCCATACTACATAAGGAATTAAATGTTAAAAGAACTTTGCCAAAATGGGCTATGACTTACAGAACCTTTCATCAGAAACCAGATCACTTAGGCAAGAAATTGTTAGATATAATTACCTGGAAATGAAACCATATTCTGCATGCAAGGAACTAAAATGTTTGCCACCTTATTTGACTAGAAAGACTTTGCTACAAATTGTATAAGAATAATTTGTATCATATGGATCTTCTCTTTTGACTCTTAATTGCAATAAAAACGCCTCACATATTATGTATGAACTCACCTCCAACATATCTGCATGCATGCGGACAAGTCTCTGCACCCGCACCTTTTTCCTGGTCCTGGTGTTGTAGATGTAATCACTTTTCTGTAACATCCCCTGATAAACGCGAATGTAAGTGAGCTGCCCATACCGTCCAGCCTGCAGGGGCAAAAAACAGCAGCACATGTATTGTGGGAGGCAAAAAAAAAGGGATACCAAGAGACAAATTAGTGTAATAAACTACCAAGATATAACAAATGGTCACTACTACTGTCCTGGGTTGTCATGGAGACAATGCATCTCTATTAATCAGAAACATCATCAAACTAAAGAACAAATAAACCTACCTCAAGTTTAAATGCCAGACCCAAAAATGGCAAGGAATTGTCTCTGGCAGAACCCAGCAACAGCTTGGATTTTTCCTCAGAATTCCTTTTTTAAAAGAACAAAAGTAGTTTAAATTACAGTATTTTAACAGTGTTTATAAACCTGCTCTAGCTGTGGAGTTTTATGTCAATCTAGTTAAGTAAGCATTCTCAACAGGCCCAGAAGACCTATGGGAGATTTAGACCCCTTAAGATGAGCCCTGTCTATTTGGCCCTGTAAGACAGACAATTGTGTTTTAGGAGAGCTGATGGTAATATATGAAAGTGGCTTTGCTGTCATTTTCTACATTCCTATTTCTATCATCTCAATATTAATTCTGGTTGAACGAGACTTTTCAGGGTTTTATATCATTATAAAAAAATCAACAACTAGTTTACTAGAGATGACATTGAGATTAGCATCCTTACTACAAGCAACAATGGCTGTATCATAGCACCTTCATCTCTTAAAAAAATCCTGTGTCCATCTTCAACAATCAAGCTGTTGTATAGACTTCATGCTTTAAATAAATTACTTGTAAGAAGGAATTAGCTAAACCAAGCAGTAGTTGTGGCAGTTAATATTATATCACATTTACACACCACCATTTTTTCGTCTTGAAAGGCACCTTAGGTGGCTTACAAGAGCTTCCTCCTCTCCACCTTGTCATCAAACAAACCTGTCAGGTAGACTATGCTGAGAAGCGGCGACTGGCCAAACTCACCCAATGAGGTTCATGACAGTGTGTGTACTAAAACCCTGATCTCCTGAGTCACAGTCCAGCTCTCTTAATCAATACACCATACTGGTTCTTAATGATGTTTTAACCAGATGTGAATATTTGCTGTCTGATTAATCAAAGTTCCAGATCTTTTCACAGGTCTACTGCCTATAGGTCATGAACAAGCACCCACCAGTTGAGGAGATGACTTCATTAATCTGACAAAAAGGGCTCTATCCTATGAAAGCTTGTGCCACAATAAGTTGTCTTTTAAAGTTGCTACAGATGGGTTTCTAGTTCAACAGATTAACAAACTAATTATTTTCAACTTATAACTGACATACAAGCTTCTTCCACATTTGATGGGAAAGCGAGTTTTCTTTCTAGTTTCCACCCACAGCTAGCATGACATAGATTGAAGTATTCAGCTGGCCTTCTGCATAAAACAGAGTTTTCCTTTTAAGAAGAACTGCAGGCAATGGCGCTGTGCAGAATCAAAATCAACATGTCTTAGATCTGGATCCTCCACAGTAACATTTTGAACTAATAGTTAAACTATATTCACTCTAGTGGTTAGTCTACACATAGCAATTGCAATCCACGCTATTACTTAACAATCAATGAGCAGCTGAGCTTGGCATCCAAACTTGGAATGCCAAGCTGTTTAGGAGCTGAACAATGCAACAGTTAACCCAACAAGCAAAAGATAAACCTGCTGGGTTAGTTATAGCTCAATAGCCCAATGTCTGGGCTTGGATGTAACATTAAGCAATCTACAAAGGAGCTGCTCATGGGTTGCTGAGTAAAGCCAGATGTAGTGAAACATCCACAGGCTGTTCACCTAGTCAGCCCTGCTCATGTTATGTGTGAACCAGGTCAATGTGTTAACTATAATAAGGAGTATTATCTATTCCCAAATTAAATGAAAAAGAAAATGCTGAGGATGGACAACAGCTCTTTATGAAAATGTTAACTGGTTCATGCACTATAATTTATCTGGGAGAACTGGTGCTCCTGCTTATAACTAAATTAAAAGACTTTAGAATAAGCAGAATTCTTTTGTAAGGCAAAACTGCCATTAAGATCAATGAAGTTTATTCCCAAGTAAATTTGTGTCAGGCAAGTAGTTCAGATCTTAGAAGAAAGCATATCATAGTAGGTACTTAATTCCTTCCTTCATGCTGACCTTTCACATCCAAGAGATAGTAGTATGGAATAGTTTTTACTCTGTATGACTTAGAGCTCTTCTGCTCATTTTTACTGAATACTCACTCCTGATTGAGAACAGCATAGTTCTGCACTTCTGATGGGTTTGGAAGGTAGTCTAGAACAGCATCCAAAAGAGGCTGTACGCCTTTATTCTTCAAAGCACTCCCAACCAACACAGGTGTGAAAGATTTACTGATAGTTGTTCTTCTGATTGCATGCTAGAAAAAAGTGGAACATTTATGATTCAATGTTTGTTAAGAGAATTCTGCATTTGAGAACTAACAGTACATGCAACCCACCAGATGGAAAACATAGTCAGAAAATATTTGTAACTAGACAGCATAGAGATAGACTTGCTGCTTTTTTCTCTGCCATGGAAAAAGATCAAAGTATCTTTTAAATAGGATACTTGTTCTTCCTGCAATATTTTTCCTCCAGCTATCTCCAGAGGTGGCTAAAATGCACAAAGGAAACAAACTCTCTACCACAGCCATCTCCAGCCAGGCACCCTCCTGATGTGTTGTGGACCAGCCCCTAGAGGAATGCTCCTGTTGATGGCCTGAGCTAGGCTAGAACAGAAGCCAAGCAATCCTGTTCAGGCATGGAATCAGGGGTAAGGAAGCTATCATATGCTCTTGACCAAAGAATGGGACACTCTTATCTCAGATAATCATCCTCTTCCACCAAGTGTTCAGCTTTGAGAGGCACACACATGGAGCAGGAAGGGGACACCTACCTAGCCAGCCAGATCAGCTGAATCTAGCTTGGTAGTCAATGGGCTGACAGATGTCACAACCAAATTGGCTTACATCCAGGTAAGGATGCAGAGTGAGGAAAAGGGACAGCTTTTTCTGTCTCACCTCTGAGGCCTTTCCCTGCTGAGCTAAACATTTTATGTGTTGGGAGACACCTCTGCCTGAGATAGACTGGCAGCAGCTGTACTGTACAAGAGGCGATTGCTGAGACGAATACCTCATGCAGCAGCTCAGATTAGAAGGCTAAAGTCTGGAACAGCTAGCGCTGAATATGAGCATTTTATATATAGTGGTGGTAACCAGGTCACAGTGATTCTAGAGACTAGGAAAGGGGAAAAGGAGTCCTTTTTATTTCCTCCTGACACATTTATATATTGTACAGGGAGGAGAGTCCTAACTTTACAACACATGAATTCCCTAATTTCTACCCCAATACTAAAAGCAATTATAGGCCAACTCCCTCTTCATCCTGTCACCTTCAGCTTCCTCTCCACCCCAACATGGCACCCCAATATTCTGTATAGCATGGAAATTCACAAATGCTTGTCAGGCCATTTTTGGTTAGTTTTTAAAACAAATAATTATTTGTCTTTTAATTCAGACACGATTGTACTTCTGAAGTTCCATGAGTTTGCAGAAACTGCTCCCTATTTTTGGATGGTCCCATTTTCCTTCCCAGCTACCTGGCATTGAAAACTTGAATGCGCTCTTAGAAGAAATGGCAGGGTGTCTGCAAATTTGTCTAACCCTTTAAACAAAGCCATTATCCCATGACAGTAACTCTAGACATTAATTATGTGTTCTGTGAAAGAAACACAAAGATGAACTGAATGGGCTCTGTATTTACAGAACAAACAGAAATAAATAAATATTTGACTATTTCTGAAACAGAATGTTTCTGAAAGAGAATGAAAAGACTCCAAGGCTGCAGTCTTATGAACACATGAACTTATTTCTGAAATAAAATAAATAAAGGTTTAAATATTTCTGCTGAATTTTCAAACATTGGCAGGGAAGGCCCGTTAAATTGTTTGGCCAATGGGCTGCATGAAAAGGAAGTTCCAAACTAATACTCTCAACAGAATTCTGGTGCATTTTGACCCTTAGGAATAACTGATGACTCAGCATTACTTAAAATGGATTTCTTCCTTTTAAGTGTTGTGTAAGAGGTGGAATAAACTGGAGAACAATTGCATAATGAACACCATGAAGCAGTTCTCTAAATCATGAAGTCATCAAAGGCTAATAAGGGTCACAGGAGGTTTATTTCCAGATTCAAAGCTGTATTTTCCATGCTCATCAAGTCCTCAAGCCAAATTCCCTCCTTGCCTAAGTGGGTTCAGCTACGGTGAAGCAGTGTCTGCTTACACCAACTGCACCTGAAGTTAGACACAAGGGGGCAGCGGGGAAAAGATAGTGGGGTTGATTGCATGGCACAGGAGCCTACCTGTGGTGCATACATAGTGCATGCAACCTCCATTTTGAATATACAACCTTTGTTCAGAGTTGTAATGCCACACATACTTGGCAAGCATAGGTTATGCAGGCATTAGGCAACCTTGCATACCCTGCAAAGAGTTTCTTGGTTATGCAAGTGTTGTTTTACCCTCAAATAACCTATGCCCTCCAGATTCCTACAACACAGCAATCCCTGAGTTGAGACTGCATATGCAAGCTGTGCCTACAACACCGGGCTTTGTTATCCAAACCCAGTCACTCTTAACATTTCTGCCTGCAAGCAGACTTTCCGAGTAAGTGTGACATAGTAGTGTTGGACTGAAAGTCTGGAAACTGTGTTCCTAGTCCATACTTGGCCAGGATGATCCTTGGGTGACTTTGTATCAAGTCACTGAAGCTCAGTCTAGCCTACATCACAAGGTTACTATGAGGCTAAAAAGGAGAGCTAGATTATGTGAGTGGCCTTGTGTTCCTTGCAAAAAAGGGGGAAAAGGGAGGATATACATAATACAATAAAAATAAAATCATCTACCAGCCACATTAGATTTTGCCTCAAAACAGTACAGATGTACAGGCCCAAATCTTACATATGTGTTTATAAGGCAGAAAAAAAGGGACTGCAGATGACCTCTATGATCTGTCAAAACTTTGTCTCTCACACTGAGCAGCTGACAGCTATCTTCTCCTCCGGTCACTTGTGGCTCTTAATGCCTGGCACTGAAAGGCTGCTACTTCCCTGGATAGCAGCAGAGTGTCATGACAAAGATATTGCAGACCCAGACTGTCTAGGAGTGCAAATAAGTTCAGCTCCTGAAGGCAATGAAATGTGATTCTGCAGCACACAAAGCTGTCTCTGAATGCAAGCTGGCTATATAATCAACACATTACAAAGTAACCGCTTTGCTAACATTTTCCTAACCATTAATCCACATTCATTTATATATAATTACAGCCCAGTGTTTTTGAGTTGCAGGATATACATGCCTGCTTTTACTCTCACAACAACCCAGTGAGGTAATGATGACCCAGACATTTATACATTCAAATCTCAGCTTAGCCATGTTTTTGCTTGCTCCAATTAAGTAATCTATTGTTCAACTTGGCAAGCCTAATTTATAGTTGAGGCCAGAACACCCAATAATTTGTCCAATCAAAGCAAATAAACCTTGGTTGAACTGAGATTTTCAGCAAAAGTTTTGATACCAGTGTTGTATCTACTAGAATGGAATAACTGGTAGACCCCAATGATTAAGCTAGAAGAACATAAAAGAGGAGAAGGCAAGGGTATGAATGACGCTAAGCAACCTTAAAAGCCTTTTGCCCCTGGGAATCATATACATTTGTACAGTCATCTAAACTAATTACTAGACAGTGCAGTGCCTGAATGGGAACACAACAGATGGGCAGTAAAGCAAAGAAGAGTTGCCCAGGTTCCACCATGACAGAACACAAAAGGACATGGTTCCAGGAACTACCACCCATTTTGACAACTGAGTAGGATGAGGTCCAAGGGATCACCGGTATGGTTGATAAATAGAGTCTATACCCTTTCCAGAAAGGTAAGTTCTGCCTCACAACCTATTCAGACTTCTTTGAGAATGTAAATAAGCACAAGGTCCAGAGTGATCCAGTAGACATTGTTTACCTGGATTTCTGAAAGGCTTTTGACAGAAGTTCCTCAACAAAGACTCCTGAGCAAGCTTAGTAGTTATGAAATAGCAGGGGGCTGGAACTTTATGGATCAGTAACTGTGGTTAAAGAACAGACAGCAGAGAATGGGAATAAACAGGGGATGTAAACAGTGGAGTTGCAGAGGGATCTGTATTAGGACCAATGCTTTTCAACCTATTCATAAATAATCTGGAATTAGGAGTGAAGCAGCCAAGCTTGCTGACATGCATCAAACTATTTAGAGTGGATAAAACCAAAAGGGATCATAAGGAACTCCAAAGGAATCTCTCCAAACTGGGAGAATGAGATCAAAACAGCAAATGCAGTTCAACAGAAGCAAGTAAACTGATACAAACTGGGACAAAAAAATTCAATTTTCAGGTATAAACTGATGGGACTTGAGCTAGCAGTGACTGGCAAGAAAGGGATTTCAGGGTTGTGGTGAACAGCTTGATGACCATGTCAAGGCAGTGTCCATCTGCTGTGAAAAAGACAACTCCACATTAGGCATAATTAGGAAAGGAACTTTCTATATAACTGCCAAGATTGTACTCCCTTATACAAATCTCTAATGTGAGTATACTTAAAGTATTGTGTGGAATTCTGAGTGCTCCGCCTGAAAAAAGACATTCTTTCACTGGAAAAAGCACAGAGAAGGAAAAATGATGATGGGGTTGAAGCAGCTCCCCTATGTGTTCAGACAGATAGGGAAAAACCCCCAAATACTTTCAACACCCAGCATGCCTGACTCGGCTGGTAAAGAGACAAAGAGAATGAGCTGTGGATCTGGAAGTCTTTCCTTAAAATCTCATTGCACTGAAGCACTTCAGGCAAGTCATGTTAGCTCCACTCAATCCTTTATGTGCACTATGGGACTAACAAATAGTTCTACCTTAGGGTTACACAATTGTTTTAAACATTACTGAGATTATGTAAGTAAGACAATCTGAATATTCAAACTACATAAATGCTAACCTTATTATCTGAAAACATAAGGAATGCATCACTACTGGATGGTGTCAAGAGCTTATAGCTCTCCAAACGCTTTGGTCTTCAACTCTCATCAGCGCTAGTCAGCGTTGCTAATGGTAAAGGATGATGGGACTTGCAGAACAAAGTATCAGGACCACCACAAACTGACCATGCTTATTATAGGACATGAAATAAGTATTGAGCTAAATTCCTTAATTCTGAATAATTCCTATGAAAGTGCCCAACCATATTTACTTTTATCTATACAAAACACAGCTACTGATAATGGTGGAAGCCATACATCAAAGATATTGACAACCTTGTGGAAAACAAACTGTTAAATCCTTTTACCTTCAAGTCAGTTATGGTTGGGATCTTTTCTTCAAGAAAAATCTCCCCAAGCTCTTCATCTATGTTTGCAACACATTCGATAAGTTCTTGGCGGCGATCTGCAGACTCTGCTCTGTATTCCGGAGGAATTGCATCATATTTTACAGTTTGGCTAGAAAAGAGGGAGAGTGAATGGCCCATCAGTGTTCTGTCATGGAACAACATATTTCAGAAATATGGCATAAAAAAAAATCCAGTTGTCCTCAGTATGAGAAAGGTCAGCTCAGGGTGAGGGGGAGAGCTGTGTTAAGAGATCCGAAATACTAACGGTTACCCTTACTAATCCATGTTCAGCAAGCAAAGCACTAAATTCTACTTCTGGAAAAGAATTTCTCCAATAGCATGATCCTGAGATAAATTCTCTCTATGTTAGATATTGCTCAGAAACCTTACCCAAATTCACCATCAAAGTATATAGCCTTTTCTTCAATGAGATCAATGATCCCTTTGAAATTTCCCTCTAATCCCATTGGAATCTGAATAAAGGCGGCATTCTGATTCAGCTTGGCTCTGTGAAGGTAAAAAATTATCCAATAAAAATCACTAGTACAGACATAATTTTCCAAATATGAGAACTATTTCTCCTTACACAAGCACACCTTACACCTTACCTTGAAGATCTAAAGTGCAGGTTGAATAAGGTTCTAGACTGGAAGGTGAGAATGGCAGATAAAATCAGATAAGACCTTTCCCTAAAAGCTTTCATCCCACTTACGTTACACAGGTGCTGTTGAAAACATGCACCTGGAGTGTTTTAAGAGCTTTTGATGGCATTTTTGGGAAGAAGCTACACACTGGGCTGGGCGGGGCTGGGCGACTTTTCTTAATTTTCTTAATTTTAAGAATCCCTACATATTCTTGTTTGGAACAAATATTCTAAAAGGCACCTTAAAATACAAACAAAAAGGAAGCTTTGATCCAGAAAGACTTATTCTCAATATGTAGAGTATTTGAAATAAGAAAAGTCCTTTTGGTATATATATCTAGCATTTTTGCTGAGAGAATAGATGAAAGAAATGAGCCCAGACAACCTGTATGTACCCCCGCACCCTCCAGGCATGGTTGCAAAAACATTGGAAGTTTTTGTTCCCACATGTCTTTATTTACGATATCAAAAAGTTCAGAAAGACAAACAATGAGATCTTGAGAACAGTGTTTGTTCTTGGAAATCTAGCCTCTGCCTGTATAACGGGCAGCAGAATTCCCACTGTACCAGCAAGTGAACGCCATATAAAATATCCAAAGTCTAGCTCAGGTACTGCTAAGACAGAAGAACAACAGGGAGGGCTGGTACTCATCTCACACATGAAAGCTGTTAAAGCGAGTCAGAAGGGCCAACTAGGGATGCATCAACCCATTATTGTAAGGAATCCTCAGTGCTGTACACATTATCCACCTATCACTTAAGAGGCATAATGCACTTGTCTGGAATGGTATGCCATACATACATGTACATTATCAATACAGATCTGAAAATGGAGGGTGGGGGTTACCGGTATAACTTCATACCTGAGTTGCTGCACAGCTCTGACTGGATTTGAGCCCATTCGATCCAGTTTGTTGACAAAGGTCAAACATGGGACATTGTATCGTTTCATCTGTCTGCTCACTGTCATGGTCTGGCACTGGACCCCTCCAACAGCACACAGCACCAAGATGGCTCCATCGAGAACTCTCAGTGCCCTTTCTACTTCTATGGTGAAATCAACATGCCCTGAAAAGGACACAAAAATTTCTCAGCATGTTTAAAACCTTCTTCTCAGGTTAGAGTTCCTCCTTCTGTTGCATTCATTCATTTCTCCTGCTGTTCTAAGTGGCCTTCAGAAATGGTTGTGGGCTCTCCCACACTATAGGCATTAAAGATGCAACTGGAGAGCCATCTCAGAGCGGAGAGAGTTGGACCCAATGGCCTTCTGCCCCTTCTAACTCTACTGTTCTATGAAACACAACATTTCATGCAGTTTAAGGTCACTAATCAATTTTCAGGAAATTGCCTTTACAAATATAGTGCATTCAAAGCAAGAAGTATGTAGAAGAATTTAATGCTGTCAAACTTGGTCTCCTAAATCATAAATGTAGCCTGGCATTGCATCAAAGCCAGACACTAAGAAATGTTCATTTGAGGTAGACAAATATAGCAATACAAGCAAAATTAACAAATAGGACTTGAAAGGATGGAAAGAGAAAAAGATGGAAATAAAGCTGATCTTGGTTCATCTGTTATAATATGCATATGCCAACTTTTTCCGAGGCGCTCGTGATAGCAGAATGGGCTCTCCTCAAACACTGTATCTTCACAGTCACCCTGTGAGGCAGGTTTGACTGAGTGACGGTCACCCAGTGAGTGTCATGGCTGACTGGGTTTTGAAATTGGGCCTCCCCAGTCCTAGATATTCTACTACACAAAACTGGAGTGGTCAACATGCCACAGTGCACATTTTTCAACCTTACCATAGAACAACTGGAGCAGCAGTTAATCTCCTGAAAACCAATGTACAGTAATACTATATTTAAAGCTGGCAACTGGGTTTCAATGTAAGAAACTCACATCAAAATCCCACAAGCCCAAACTTCACTAAAGATGCAATCCTGTGCATGTTTAGACAGAAATAAGCCCCACTGCTCCCAGCAAATACGGCTGGCTGGGGTACACAGGGAATTGCAGGCCTGACTCCTGTCCAAACAAGCATAGCAGTCCACTCTAGGCAGCTTTCAGCAAGTCATTCTTTCTAAGCCCAGCACACCTCACAGTGTTATGTGGATAAAACCGCTCCATGTAAATCACTCTGAGCTCTTTGGAGGAAGAGCATCCAATACATAAATCATAAACACTGTCTATGATATTCTTGTGAAGAACTGTGGACTTCTTGTATAGCAAAGATCTGACAGCAAATGTTCCATTTAAAAGGGCAGTTTAAGTCAGTGTTGGAAAAGCACAGTACTGGTACACCACCCTCCAAACCCGCAGGGAAACTTAAACTTCAAGACACACCCATTTTTGCAGAAAAGATCCTACTGAAGATGCCTGAATCTCTGATCTACAGCAGAAAAATAAACCTTGAGAAAGCAGTGGTAGAAACTACAAAATTTTGGAACCATGTTAATAGGAATGTGGTTTGTAAAAAGGCATGCAGGCCATACTTCATGTCTACCTTACCTGGGCTATGTGGTACATGACTGGTGATCTTAGGCATTTGAATCTCCAATTAAAAATAACAGGGTTAGTTCATGTTCCATTTAATACATTTGGTTTGAGGGAACTTACACAACAATGTTTATACCATTTTCTGAACTGCTGAAAGCAAGGTAAGAAAATAATGCAACTGATCTCCTTTTGGCTGCAATCAGAATGAATATGCTAGGAGTTTGCACTACCTGGGGTGTCGATTATGTTAATGTTTGTGTCTTTCCACATGGTATATGTTGCTGCAGACTGAATAGTGATCCCCCGCTGTCGTTCCAACTCCATCGAATCCATGACAGCACCAACCCCATCTTTCCCTTTTACCTAGGGTGAAAGAAAGCACATGTGTTTCTACAAATCAGAATATTTCTGCACAGCAAAGATTTGTTTCAAGATGCTGCATTTCACCCCATACAGAATTCACAGAACAAAACCTGTATCTAATCCTAGTTACCTAAGAGGTAGGTAGCCACGTTGGTAAATTTAAATAAATCCAAGAGTCTCAGCAGGCTAATAACTTCATCATGACCCACTAAAATACCACAAAATAGAGAGCAAACTGTCAAGTTCTCACTTTGATTTTTCAGCGATGAAATATGGGAGAACAGTCATTATTTCTTCATTGTTCCAGCAGCCTTTGGAATATCATGAAATTATCTTGCACCCATCACAGACTGAACCAAATAAATCTATCCTCATAAAGACACTTACTTTTTTGGAAGTCATATTTAATTCATTGAAGCTTACTTCTGAGTAGACATGTATTAGAATTCCACTGAAATTGTTGCTAACATTTCCCACATTCCACCTTAAGTCCGGCGGAGCTTTTTCGAGTGGTACAAGGCCTGGTTCACCCGGGTCCTAAGGAAGATCCGATGCCACCCTCAAAGGCCTGCTGTGACGACTTTGCCAGGCATTTCAGGGAGAAAATCGCTCAGATTCGTCACGAGCTGGACTCCACTAATGAATCAGAGGTCTCTGGGGAGACGCCAATGCTATCGTCTGGTCCAAAATTATTGGAGGAATTTCAATTATTGCGGCCCGATGATGTGGACAAGGTGCTTGGACGAGTATGTCCCACCACTTGCCTATTGGATCCTTGCCCGTCTTGGTTAATAAATAACTCCAAGCACGGGATTGGGACCTGGATCTTGGAAGTGGTTAACGCTTCTCTGAGGGAGGGTCGAGTGCCTGCCCCTTTAAAGGAGGCGGTAATACGACCGGTCCTGAAGAAAGCGTCACTGGATCCAGAGATGGCCACTAACTATAGACATGTGGCCAACATCCCGTTTCTGGGCAAGGTGTTGGAGCGAGTGGTGGCGGGACAACTCCAAGCACTCTTGGATGAAACTGATTATCTGGATCCTTTTCAGTCCGGCTTCAGACCCAGGTACAGTACTGAATCTGCCTTGGTTGCCCTGTACGATGACCTGTGCAGGGAGAAGGACAGGGGGAGTGCATCCCTGTTGGTTCTTCTGGACCTCTCGGCGGCTTTCGATACCATCGACCATGGTATCCTTCTGGATAGGCTAGCGGGATTGGGGGTTGGAGGCACTGCTTTGCAGTGGTTCCGCTCCTATCTCAACGGTCGATTCCAGAAGGTAGTGCTGGGGGACCATGTCTCTGCGCCATGGCAGCTATGCCATGGAGTACCACAGGGCTCCATCCTATCCCCTCTGCTATTTAACATCTATATGAAACCGCTGGGAGAGGTCATCAGGAGGTGTGGGCTGCGGAATCATCAATACACTGATGATACCCAGCTCTACCTCTCGTTTTCCACTAATCCAGGTGAGGCAGTGGCTGTGCTGAACCGGTGCTTGGCCAAGGTAATGGAATGGATGAGGGCCAATAAACTGAAACTCAACCCAGACAAGACGGAGGTCCTGTTGGTTGGCGGATCGGGCTTCGGAGAGGGTGGATTTGACCTGGTTCTGAATGGTGCAACACTCCCTCTTAGGGACAAGGTCCGCAGCTTAGGAGTACTCCTCGACCCGGAGCTTTCATTGGAAGCTCAGGTGACAGAGGTGGCGAGGAGCGCCTTCCTTCAGCTTCGGCTGATTAATCAGCTGCGCCCCTACCTGGGGTACGACTGCCTGGCGACGGTGACACACGCGCTGGTGACTTCCCACCTAGACTTCTGTAACGCGCTTTACGTGGGGCTTCCCCTGAAGACAGTCCGAACACTTCAATTGGTGCAAAATAGAGCTGCCAGGTTGCTGACAGGGACGGGGCGTTATGCTCACATGACTCCAGTCCTCCGTCAGTTTCACTGGCTTCCCATTGAAGCCCGGGCACAATTCAAGGTGTTGATTATGACCTATAAAGCCCTAAACGGCTTGGGTCCTGGCTACCTGAACGAGCGCTTACGTCCGTATATGCCCGACCGCCCTTTGAGATCTGCAGGAGAGTCCCTTCTCCGGGAACCCTCCATGAAAGAAATTAGGAGAGTAAGTAGTCGGAGGAGGGCTTTCTCTGCGGTGGCGCCCAACCTATGGAATTCACTCCCCAAAGAGGTCCGCCTGGCACCGTCGTTACTGGTTTTTCGGCGCCAGGTAAAGCCCTTTTTATTTAAACATCATTTTAATTGTTAAAATATATGATCTGGCCAGGGCAACTTTCTTCTTCCTTCTCTTTTCTCCTCCTATATTATTTATTTACTTATTTTATACTGATAATTTTAATTTTATATTATTATGTTCGTAACTCAGTGTATTTTTTGTATTTTGTATTTAATGGTAATTTATTATGTTCTATTGTATTTCAATGTATTTTATTGTGTTGTAAGCCGCCCCGAGGCTTCAGCAAGGGGCGGCATAGAAATGTTATAATAATAATAATAATAATAATAATAATAATAATAATAATAAATGGTCAGTCATTTTTCATCCTCTGCTGCTCCCATTCTGCTTACTTTTCAGCTTGAAGAAGAGTTCAGTACTATTTTGTGCCATTTTGGTTGGTCCTAATAGAGCTCTTCACCTGTTGTGATTTCTAGGTACCAAGTAACATTGTCAAAGTTTAAGTCTTGGGGATCAGAAAGATCTCCCACAGCTATCTGGCCTCCAAAGCATGCTTCCCACAAATTATACTTGGAACGAATAAAGAGCATCATAGCTATTTTTTTTCAGCACACAAAATTTATGAACAGTATCCAAAATGCTTTGAGGCAAGTAGGTAGACAATCATCCTTCTTCAAGGTCAAACACTTCTAACAATGAGAAGGTAGAATCCACAGAAAACATCCTGTTCTGTAACTTCTCTGTTGGAGTTCAACAACATATGATTGCTTTCCTGGCAATTTGGTCAGTATGGGGCCAAACTCAATGTTTTTATCAAATATGTGATGGATGATATAAAATTCCTATGTTGCCAATGAAAGCAGCTAAATTTGTATCTGTTGCAGTAAGAACAAGAGAACAACTCACAACAACACAACCTGATATTTGAAACTAGAAGGACCATATCTAGGGATCAAGTCCCATTAGAGGCATCTGTTATAAACCGCCCAGACAGCTTTGGATACTGCAGTGCAGAAGTGAAATAAATCAAAAGATCTAAAGCAGAGAGAGATACAATCTTTGTTTTCCCATCCTCCCACCCTGCAAATTCTGCTAGAAAAGATTTTAAGCTTGTTTAGCAAGGGTGCTTTGGAGGAAGAGGGAAGGAGGCTAGAGGTGGCCCAAGGTAATGTACATTCAGGGGAGATTCCTTCCTCCCTGCTCAATAAAACACCTCATTTCCTCCTCCAACAAAAATGGTTTTCTGAACTCAGAGGCAAAGCTAGTATGGTCCTCTCTGCACTGGCTGTGAGAGAACAGGGGAGTAGGACTGGATTTCTGAGTCGTTCCTGAGGTCAAAATGCTACTTCCAACCTCTGAAGGAGGGATACAAACAATTTTATAGTACCTAAGACACTTGCCAGAAGGTCAAAGAATTGCTGAATGAAACACATTTTAAAAGGAAATCAGAACAGCTGCTCCCTTAATTCCAATTAAATGCTCAGCTGTTGGAATGGTAGGGTTTGCTGGACAACTGATTCCATAAAGAGAGAAGTACAATCAAACAGGTTTTGCCCTTTCATAAAACAAAACTTACATCTCTGCCTAGTAAGAGTTTGATAACGGCCCTTCCCAGCAGACCATAAAGGGTGCTAGGACTTACACATGGAGCGTTTATTCTGGTGGCAAAGCAGAATCTAGGCCATTAAGAATTGACAAGAGGTAAGCTGCAGTTTGAATTGCACCCAGAAGGAAACAGGTTATTAGGGTAGGTGCTTCAAGATAAGTTATCTCCCAAGTTATATCACAGTGCCTTCAAATACAATGTTTTCCTCCCTGAATGTAGTCCTTACAGCTCGTTTTTGAGGCAAGACTTTGATGTTAACTCAAGTTTAAATACACTACACAAATCCAAAGTGCTATCTCTTTCCAGATTCAGATAGCACATCACAATTTCTTCTCACAATTACATAGGTAAGAGAAGAAAATGTTAACCAAACTTCATATCATTTCCCACATTTTAAAAACTATTTTTTAAAAAGCAGCCTCAGAATTCCTGCAAGTACCCCCTATTATAAGGCCTCTGCATGTACTTTTAAGTTCTATCCAACACCCTACAAGGGTTGCCCCACTGGGATGCTCAGTTGAAACAATGAGATCATAAAGCACTCAGCATATATTTACCACCTGAAACAACATATTCAGAAGTACCTCATGCATTTGTGCTATCCTTCCTGTATAGAAAAGAATGCGCTCAGTTAACGTAGTCTTTCCAGAGTCAATGTGTGCAGAAATTCCTATGTTACGAATCCTTTCATTGGGAATAATTCCTGAAGAACACCATCTGCAGCCATTTAAGAACACCTGAAATACAAGAATGTTGTAAAAATACTGAATACAAAAGCGCATATGATAAAGATAAGTCTTCAGTGTAATATTTTCATGATAGGAGTTGTTGTCCAGTCTGGAGGTTGGGAAAGCTACCTTAGCTCTTCTATCAGCAATTGCTCCATGCTGTACTATTCGTGCCTCTGAGATAAACAAGTTATATCGGCAGAAGTTACCAGGCATCTGATAGTTTAAATTCTGAATGTGCCATCTCAGTAATTCTGGCAACAGACTAGCAAGCATTCATTACAGATCAAGTACTGAGTATTGCTACAATGGTACATTGCAATACTAGATGCAGTAAGAGTAAGTGTGCAACATAGCCAGCTCTGGGCCTAAAACAGTACATACTGACTGGATTCACATAATCACCAGGGAAAAGAAAGCATAATGGCTTTTTTTCTCCTGTGCTGGATGTGCTGGTCGTGCACCAAATGATTTGCCTTGTTGCTTGCCAGGTGCCCTGTCATCTAAGCTCAGTGAAGTGCACAGTAAGAGTTGCTTCCAGAACCCCTACCACAGCGGTAATGAGGTAGATTGCAAAGGAGATGCAATGAAAGTGCTGCAGTAGCTTCTTTTCCCCAGCTACCATGCAAGCTTGGTTATTCCAAGATAGGTGGCTTACATAGTCCATTTTGAGATTTCAAAACAGCTCCTTCTTAGAAAAGCTCTTGGTAGTGGTTAAAAGCATTCTATCCAAATCATGATCCAACTGTTTGATTTTTTTTTCATTACTATTGAAAAATGGCTGCTCTCATACATATGCAAAATAAACTGCCACAACAGATCATAGTATGTGGTCAGTGGTGAGTTTTAGCAGGACTGCAATCATTGTTAACCATTTGAAAATGCAAAATATTTTGGAGAGATGGGATATATGAATTACCAGCTAACTTAAATCCTGGGTGCCAAAACTTAGGTTATTTTTTGTATACAGTTGGGCACACAGGTACTAATCAGTGGTATCTTTCCTAAAACACAAATGTAAGTTATGTCATCTGACATAACAAATGGCAATATTTATAGTTTACCAGTTCAAAAGATCCATGGTCGATTGTCAGTATTTGTACTTGTTCTCTGTATACACCAAACAGCTTCTATAATGATGGAAAGTATGTAGCTCTTACTCTAGAAGCATCTTCCTGACCAGGATAGCTGTTTTCATAGTCCATTTTCAAACATTATCCTACTGATGGAAATATCTTGAGATTTAATGTCTTGAAAATTAGAGCACTTTGTGCTGGATTTTCATGACAACCTAAGATTTGCAGTAATTCAACGTAAGCTATCTATTTTCCACCGGGATTTAAAGGCACATATTCTGAAGTTAAGATTTCCAAACTGCTCTGACAGGGTGCTGTGAAAGCAACTCACTTCTATCCTTCCCCAATACTAGGAGCAATCGTTTACTTTAAAACGAGCAGTTTGCCTGGACTGGGGGCTAAACGATGTATGTCGTTAAGCCCTCCCATCTTCTCCAACAGAAAGCATTTCCTCTCAGTGGGTGAGTGACAACAAGAAAGTAAGGGGAACAGTTTCTCCCATTACGACAAAGCTTCACCTGTTGATTTTCTGCCTGTCTGGAATGTCCCAGTATCGCAGGCTGTGTTGTTATTAACCAGGAGAGGGCTCAGGCCTCTCGAAATCCTTAACAGCGCAGAGAGCTGAGTTTAGGGAAGCCCTCTTGGCAGGGCGCCCGCCCTCGCGCATCCACAGAGGCCGGCCAGCCCGCCCGCCGCCCCATCGCCTTCTCTGCCCTCCCTACCTGTTGCCCAGGCAACGCCGACCGCAGGAGCCGCCGGGCCCGCAGCATGGTGCGAACAGCAGGTTCCCTCAGACCCGGCCGCTTAAAGTCACGCCGACTTCTCGAGCTCCACTTCCTGCCCCAGCCGGCTAGCGCTTCCGGAGCATTCAGAGGGACCATAGAAGTGGCCAGAGAGACGACCGTGTCGCCTCTCCAGCGCACGGCTCCTGCAGCGCCACCTGTGGCCGAGGAGGGAGGGAAGGCTCCAAGGAGGCAGGTGGCCGCCGCTCCCCGCGGAGCGTGCTAGGAGTGGGAGAGAAACGCTATTTTCCTCATGGTGTTCTGCCTCTTTCATGTTCCTGGGCTCTTTGGTGTTTTAACCTAGGATTTGTTTTCAGAGTGAAGGCTTATTCCGGGACCATGTCAGCGCCAGCCATTCCAGCAAGCTGTACAGGGAGAACAGGACCTTTCCACTACAGCGGCTGATGGAGGGGTTTTTCTCTACCCGCCCCACGCCTTTTCCCTTGCGTGTCGTGTCTTTGTAGAGTGCAAACCTGCAGGTAGGGACTGCCTTGTTTAGTTGATTATATATGAGAATGAGGAGCAACGTACAAGTATTTAAATAAATAAATACGATGTTGTGTTATTGTTGATACAGACTGTTGCCAATCACAGCACCCCAAAACACCCCAAAAGTAGTTGGCCAGAGGAAGACCCAAAAGTAGTTGGCCAGAGGGGGGCCACATAGGAAAAAAGCCATATTGAATTTCCTGTCTCAGAAGGGAGGGGGATAAGAGCAAAATTAACTTTGTGTAACCCATAGCTAACAAGCTAGCCTGACCTCGAATACAGTAATCAAAGGGACAGTGGAAATGAAAGCAGCAATGAGAGTTGTAAATGTGCAGGGAGTAAGAACATGGCAAGCCTGGGTGAATCTTGAGCAGATAAAAAATAGACATGAGATATGTCGGATCCTTGACAGAAGAAAAGACTCTTTGAAGCTAACAGCAGGGGAGGGGATGCATACAATGTATTGATGCATTAGATGTGTATTAGGTGACCTGATTGCTTATGTAGGGTATAAAACACATGTACTGGGGTGCAACTTTCAAGACACTGCTTTGGGCTGCATATCCCCTTTTGTCTCCCTATATTCTATAGTGCACTAGAATAAAGTTTGTTTGGCTCTAAGTCTCATATCAGGCTTTTTTTGACTTGGGGTCTGGGGTCTTCGCAGGGTCTCCTAGCTGTTGACTGGCTGAGTTCTATAACAAGACTAAGATGTAATCTTACTGCTCTGGTGTTTTCCTGCCTAACAGTCAGAAGCAAAATTCTGTTTTCTCCCTCCAGAATCTGGCTTTTCCTTCCACTGAAGTATGAGGCCTGGACTGGACTGGTCTAGGGGTCTCAGTCATTTTGGGACAGTGGTCAAATCTCAAATTTGGAGTCCATGTTACCTACCCTCTTGCAAAATAACTGTTATAGTGGGCATTGCTTGCTACAATTTCCAAGAAGACAAAGTAATGAGAATAACAACTAACTTGCCCACAAACCTGAATGCAAAGGAGAGTCCAAGATCTAAAACATAAACCACTCTTTTGAATGCAACTGTTTCCTTCTATAACACCCATTTTACAAAAGGCACACATAGTGTAACTCAGAGACCAGTGCTTTGGCCATAAAATGCATATAAGGCAGAAATATGGCCTGAGTCCCAATACCAATCATTTTGTGCTCCTCCCGTAAAAAAAAAAAAAATTCCCAGTATGCATTAAGCAACCTGGTGATGCACAGAGAAACACACACAGGCCATACACCTGTATACCTACACACACAGAACCCCCAAACACACACATTCAGGTAAAGCATATGCCGCACTCAAAACACACATCCCAAGGGAATTAGCCATGAACGTTATACGAGTCAGATCACTGGTCTATCTAGCGCGGTGTCAGTATTTGTTTTACACTTGACAGTGCTATGCTAAGCTTGTTTATTTAGAAACAGGTCCAACTGTGTTCACTGGGACATGATCCTTTGTAAATGCACTTAGCATTGCAGTCATCCATCCATCCATCCATCCATCTTGCATTCCCTTTAGAGACTGGATTTTGGAAACCCAGGTAATATATTTAAGTTAATCAACAACTTATGAAATGTTGGCTAACCAACAAGCATTTTGTAATTTAGTTTAGTTACAATGGCTACCTTACGTTGAAAGAACTGGGCATGTTTTAACCTGACATATGCTAGCACTCTTCAAGGCCTTGAAAGGTCACACAGAGGAAGGGCAGGATCTTTTCAGTCATGCCAGAGTGTAGGACAGGGAAGAATGGATTCAAGTTTCAGGAAGCCAGATTCTGGCTGGACATCAGAGAAAAATTCCTGAGAGTTAGAGTGATATGGCAATGGAACCAATGACCTAGAGAGGTTGTGGAGTCTTCACACTGGAAGCATTCAAGATGCAGCTGGACAGCCATCTTAGAGGGATGGGTTAAATTGGGAGTTCTGCATTGAGCAAGAGATTGGATCTGATGGCCTTCTTGGCCCATCCAACTCTACTATTCTATGATTCTGTGATTGTATATGTCAAGATAACATATGGACATGGAATGGAATACACTCCCTAGAGAGGGCCTCCTGGCGCCATTGTTATTTGTTTTTCGGTGCCAGGTTAAGACCTTTTTATTCCAACAATATTTTAATAACTTTTAATATTGGGTTATATATGTTTTTAACTGCAGCCAGTGTGGAACTGTAATTCATTTGTGTTATGTTTTATATTATTTTATTTATGTAAGCCGTCCTGAGGCCTTCGCGACTGGACAGCATATAAATATTCTAAATAGATAGATAGAGAAGATAAAGGATGTTACTGTATTCTGTGCACCTTGCAGGGCCAGCATCAAGGCCCAAGGCAGAGCAGGGGATAACTGAGAAGAGCCCCTTAACTTTACTACTTCTCTTCATTATTACAGTGGACATTCTGGCCCAGTCAATGGTGGTGGGGATGAAGAGCCAGGTCTACTTACTCACTGGCTCTCTCTGTTAAGCCAACAACAGGTACCAACTGTCTGAAGAGTAATAGCAACTGTTAACAATGACAGTGAGAAGGGAGTGGAGATACTGAGTGTGTTTTTCCTAAGAGCCCTGCAAAACCAGGAACTAGCATTGGTACCATGATTTCAGGATTAGGAATCCCTTTGTAATAAATGATCAGCATTCATTCTTTTGATTTTTAAGGTGCAATCTTAAGACACACTTATCTGGGAATAATCTTTACAAAACACAGTAGGATTTACTTCTGAATACTCATGTTTAGGATTGAGCTGTACTAGTCACAAACTCTCAAAATTTAAGTATGCCTAAAATCTATGGAGTTTTGTTTCTCTGTCACTGAATTCAGTAGGATTTAAAAGTGCTTAGCATAGGTATCATATAGAAGAAAATGAACATTACTTTTAGGAAATGTTTGGGTATAAAGTACTAGCTACCTTGACAGAGTGTAGTGGATTTAAAGGCTCCCCTCTCTTTCCAAGCTGATTGCAAGAGTCCGCAAAAATATTTCTTGGCCTTTCTGGAGCATAGGCAACAAAAAGCAGGAATAATCTGCAAACTGGAAAAAGCAGACAGGATTGGACGAGTACTGGTTTTCAACAAGATGCTTTGTATCATACAAAATATTGTATGATACAAAGTGGTCACTCAGCTTTCACCTCTAATTATGCCATTGTACCCCTGCTTTTCCAAAATCTGATGATGCAGGTGCATCATTCCACATGAGAACGTGTCACTGAAGTCATGGAGAACTGTTATTAAAAAGGATGCATTTTAGGGTTCCTATGTCTGAAAATGTGTGAAGTATGCATCTTCTCCATTTGCATGGAGGAAGGGAGGAAATAAAATTAATCCAGTAGGACAGACTAAAGCATGGGTCCTCAAACTACAGCCCGTGGGCCAGATCCAGCCTGTCATGCCCATTTATCCGGCCCACCTGAGAGGTTTTGGACTCACCACACCCGCCTGGCCCCACACGGGCCTGCAACCGCCTTACCACGCGTACAGGGAGGCAGCGGCTTGCTTACGCAGAGATCGTTTTGGACAAGCTCAGAGAAAATGATTTCCGAGGGAACAAGCCGCTGCCTGGCACGCCCACCCCTGCCTTTCTGCGCATGCCCACCTCTGCCTCGCCTCCCCTCGCATGCACCCGCCCCCACCTCATGTTTTCCCTGTGCACCATCGGCACCTTTCAACTGGCCCTGTTGAAAAAGTCTGAGGACCCCTGGAGGTTGGACTGCTTTATCACAAACCCTGATAGTTTCAATTGCTTCTGTTGGTGGAGCATCTGCAGGACTGAAGTTTACTCAACAGGACACATAAAGGTGAGAACTGAACCCTCATCTCTGTGCCAGGTATAGTTCTTCTCATTTTTCCATTACTAGGAGCATTCAGGTTTGAAGAATACACATAATTGCAAAGGCCTAATTAGTATTTTGCAGCAGCTATAGCAATAGCAACAGCACAGTGCCATTCTGTCCTGCTATATATTGCTACAGATGCATTACAGCTAACTTTAAAACACAGGTCTTTTCCGTTTTTTCGACAAGTTCACTTTCTTCGTTTAAATTGTTGAATATTTTGGGAGGCCATGGTAACTAAGCAACTCAGTCCTGGAGACAAATAATTTGTCCAGCCGGGGTCTCATCAGTCACACCACTCTATGTTTGGCACTTCTAATTTGAGAATTTAAAGGGTGTACAGAATGTGGAATGCTGCAAGTGCATATAGCACAGATAGAGTTTTGAGCATCTTTCACATTACGAAGAGGGGGAAACCTAGTTTATGTTTTTGCCAACAGTGCAATCTCAACAGAAAATGAAAGCATTCAGGATTTTTTAATTTTATTTTTCAGTGGTGTAATAGTCTGATGATCAGGTAATGTAAAAGTCCAATGATCAGGTAATGTATTTTGAAAATGATTTTGCAAGCATTACAAACAGATTTGCCAAGTACTGTCTGTACTGAAAACAAACTCAATCTGCTAATTCCTTAAAAGAACTGTTAACTTGAATAAACTTGTAAGATAAACACATGTACAGATCATATAGAGGAACACAAATTTCGGTACCCAATCACTGCCATCTGTGAAAAGCAGATTCAGTTACACAGTACTTTGAACTGGCCAAAGCAGAATGTGAACTAAAGTTGTTTACAGCTGCCTTGCTTAGCAACAGCACCAGATTAGCAGCTCTTAGTTATACAACAAAACTTGGCACTGTACCCTGTATTCATAAGGGCCAAAGAGTTTGCTAAATGCTAATTTACTTTTATGGCAATGCTGTTTCATGGTAATAGGGAATTTTTTTTAGATTTTGCTCATATTGAGGTAGCCTAGCCAGAACAAGAGAAACACTGACATATGTAGAGCACCTGTTGTCCTGTAAACGTGCTTTAAACCCCATTAAGTGTTCCCTATATAAAAACAGGGAAGTGCACTGGACAGGTGGCAATTTCAGAATCTATGCCTATTGCAATCCTTGGCTTGATCACATGCCAACTGTAATCTTAATGGAAGAAGTGAATAAATCAAGGGATATATGCCAGAACTCTGTGCTTTCCATATGCAGAGTACAGAATCATGTTCCTTGGCAAGCAGCTAGTAGCATCTGTGAAACTAACTCCTTTGCTAGTTTGAGTTAGCTAGGACCTGGCCAGACTATGGACAGTGGTCTTAGAATACAGCAACATATCCTCCTCTTGCCAGGATGATCAGGGATCAGTAATGTACTTCTGACCGTAGAGGTTCGTATCAGTGTTAAATGTCTATTCCGTAGGAGAACACACACTAAAAGTATAAAACTATTTCCACAAAAAAGTCAGCCTCATTAAGCTCAGTGAGACTTACTCCCAAGTAGCAGCCTTAAGGCACAATTCCATGTATGTTTAGGCAGGAAAAAAATCCCACAGTGTGCAGCATCCTCTGGTTGGGGAATTCTGGGAGTTGTGGGACTTTTTTCTGTCTAAACATGCGTAAAATTGTGCATGTCACCCCTAGTGACCACCATAATTTTATGAGAACAGGCACAGTATTTACCGATGTTATGTTGAATAGTTCTTCAAACCAAGTTGCCAGTGTTATTTTTGAACTTTCCATTAGATTTGAGAATTTGATTATGCAACACTGTCAGATGAAATACTAAAGATTACCAAATGTTTATTCATGATAAATATGCACACATATAGATTTCTGCCCTGCATAACATTAAATGTTAGAGAAATTATAATTGATGGAGATATTTTATTGAAGCAACTATACAGCTCCTTTTCTATTTAACAGCCTGTAAGACATTTTAACACATAGACAATGAATTGTCAGAAGTTCAAACTTTTTCAAGGCTATTCCTATACAAGAGCAATGTTTTAATTGCCAAGCTTGAACTAAACTTGCAGAACCCACAGATTCACATATGGTGCAATTCTATGTACATTCAGACATTAAAAAGACCTATAGCTCCCAAAATGCCTCAGACAGCAATGTTGGGAAGCATGGGTGTTTAGGTCTAAACATGCTCTGGAATGCACCTTTCATACAGTGTACAACTATAGATTGAATATAACCTTTTTTTAAAAAAACTGCTTGATAAAGCCCTGTGTATTAAAAGAATGGGACATCATGAATATTTCACAGTGAAGACACATATCCAACAAATCTGCATCTTTGCTATGAATGCAAATGTGTAAACCTTGCCAGTTAATATATTTTGCAAGTTTCTGGTTTTAAAAAGACAAAATACCCCCCAAATCAGAGTGCCCACAGCCTTTTGAACCTGCAGTCCATAACTTTCCTATTAAAAAAATAAATGAAAACAAAGGAGAAATTAAATAATAAATCTTCAAGAGAGAAATGAAGAAACTAAAGCAATGAAGGTAAAGAGCAGAGCACTAAAGACAGTTTTAAATGCTTGTGATATGCAGCTTTGAATCACCTGAAGTCATTTTGTGCATTTTTACTGCAAGCTAGAATTTTGATGGTCATGTGGGTTTTGATGGTCATTTATTTTCCAATTAAGAATGAATATATTAGTTCATGAAAATTAAAACTTTTTACAAATTAAAATGAATTATTAGCAATAAACATATATTTTTGGAAGGAAAACTACTTTATTAAAAATACAGGGAAAACAATACTTAGTGCAAACCATAACAGACAGACCTAAGTGGGTTACGTTAAAATATTAAAATATGCTTTGAAGGACACAAAAGGGTATCAGAAAGTGCAGTCCCAAATACCTAAATGCCACCATTCAAATTACTGATATTGTTTAGTACCCAGAAACCTGAACATGTTATGAGTTCTATTTAGGCAATTTAAGTTGGTAACTTATTCTGAACAGCCATCAGATATAGCATTTTATTTTTATATCTATATACTACTCTTTCATTACCTAATCACAAACTGTATACAAAACTAATTAAAAATGGATGAAATATTTAAATAAAAACCAATAAAAACACTTAATGTTTTATGTCCACAGTATGTTTTTAAACTTATGTTTAATTATTGGAATATCTGGAAACAGCTTATCTTGAACAAAGGTGGCAATGAATTACATTTCTGAATTGCTCACTAACTCAAATGCCTGAATAGTTAGCCACAAACCAGTTAAAGTGAGCTCTATGGGAAAGGCCTAGTGACGTGCTATTTAACCTATGCAAGGAATATGGTAGATCTAAAATACAGGATTATTTTTTCAAAGCAACAGAATGAAGAATGATTTAGGGGGCAGTAAGAACTCAGAGATGCACAACATTGAGAGAACAGTGGCAAAATTCAGTTTTATTTATGCAATTTTACTTTTTTTTGCAAGACTCAAAGACTGCTTTAAAGCTATAGGTATTTCTTTACAGTGCTCTAGACTGTGACTGACTCTTCACCAGAAGCACCACAGTGTCGCTCGAGTTATGAACAGCAGGTTATGAACAGTACTCCTTTGAAACCATGCACATGTAGTTGCAATGATACTTTTGGTTCCACAGCTACAGGAGCTTGTGGTGTTAATAAAAATGACATGTTTTAGTATTCTATCTCACACTAGAACAAGAACTCCATAAAAGTGCTTTTCATTATCAGTGTTTTTCCAGTACCACTTGAAACTAAATCTTGCCAGGGAGTTGGAGATGTCACAAACATTCGGTAGTCAAAGAGCAAAATCACTAGTGCTAAGAACAGAGAGCTTGGTCTTATTAATTGATCCAGAATTACTGTGTCCTCCCAAAAGAAGAGCCAGATTAATATGAAACACAACACAGCAATTTATTTTTTGCTGCTTTTGAGAGGAACGTGTGATCCCTTGACACTGAGCTTCTCTACAGAAGATGTAGACCTTCTGGGTTCCTCTATGGCTATTCTTGGGTGGGTCTTCTCCCTGAAACAGTAATCAGAAAGAGGAGATACTCCATGGTTAAGGTTTTTATGGAAAGCATGTTGCGCAATAAACTTTTTAACTATCTGCTAAAAAACAAGAATGTTGGTCACGAGTGGCTGATGTCTCTAAAGCATCAGTAAGTCAAAGCTGTGCTATAGTGCACAGAAACAATGTATGTTCATCTTAATCTATTTATGTATTGAGAGTCAAGCCATTAGAATCTATTTTTCCATAGACTCTATTTTTGCAGGCTGTTTAAACTGAAACTGGGCTGAAGGCTAGATAGAGCTACTAATCCAACCACAACATAAGCTTCCTTGCAAGCAAGAATGGTCCCAACACCAGATCACTTAGGACAATTCTCTTGAAAAAGCAATGTATTTGCATATCAGTAGCTAAAGGCATGCAAATATATTTGAGAATGTATTCCTCTAAAGCCATGCAGTAGGGATAACAATGATACATACCTTCTGACTGCATCTTCCTTGCTTACATGACGGATACTTCTGAGTCTTGAGGTGTTTATATTGTTTCTTCCTCCAGTGGTGTTGAATCTCAGAATTTCCTTCTGCCATTGTTCATCAAATGCATTAGCTTCAGCTGTGTAACAAGTTTTAAAGCAAGAATACCATTACTTGAGGAGGTCAAAGCAGTTAATCTTTAAAGCTGCTATATTTTTAAAAAATCACGCAGAATAATTTGTAACATTAGTACAGTTAATGAAGTGTCATTATTGTTAGAGGGCTGAATGGGGTCTTGGGAGTTCTGGATTTTAGTTCTCACTTGGCTATTAAGCCTCTGGATATCTCTCAGCCAGTTTGCACAACACAGCAGCACATCATGGGTCAGTCTATCCATGAGGGGCTGTGGTGTCCAGCAAGGGTTGTCATAGCTTGTCATGTTGTTGAAACCTGGTTAGTGGGGCTTATTTGAGCATTAAACAACCTTTGCACAACCTTCTGTCTGTGTATCATACAAAGTTTGTTTAGCACCCCCCCCCCAAAAAAACACAAAACTGGGATTGGATGACATGATAAGCCAAGGCAACCTCCAGCCGGAGCTTGCAAATGTCTAAAGGTGACGGGCACACACCACAGCACCTCACATAATGGGCTGTCATGCTATCTAAACCAGGTCACTGACTCTTGGCCTAACAACCTCAAAAGGTTGTTATAAGCATAAAATGGAAAGGGGGATGACAAGAGAAGCCACCTTGGTTCCTTACAAGAAGAAAAAGGGAGATATGTGATTAACACAACACTATAGTTTTCTGTGTATATAAAAATGATGTCACCAAAGGCTTCTTACCTTCATCTAAATTGACAAATTCCTGATTAATTTCTTCATCACCAGTTTTGTTGTTCTTTGCCTTCTGGACAATATGAGCACGATCTTGAATGTGATGACCAATAGACATTTTTTCGAGTCCACTTTCAGAGTCTTTGAGTGCTTTCCTAGTTTCTTTAATCTGCATTAAAACAACATTATTTACCACAAAGAAAAAAGCTATTTGACCAGTTTTTTGGATATTCCTTTTGAACCAACCTTTCACAAGATTATGCCTTAACTGTAAATGCAGCACAAGAGGAAAGAAGAGTGCAAAGCACAGAACAAGGCACTAACATCTGAGTGCAGATTAGGATCATGTACACAAGTGGATTACACCCTGCTATTTCTACTGCAGTAGCTTCCACCTTTGAAAAGTGGTTTTTCCATTAACGAAGCAGTTGGACTCTTTAGGAGCAATAAAAACCAGCAAGCAGCGAACTAACTGTTTGCCCAATTTTCTCTCCTGAATGTACTTCTTTGAATTTTGGTCAGGCCACAACATGTATGTCTGTGATTCATACACAAAGAAAATCTTTTTCCACCATCTTGAGGTCTCAACAACATTCTGTTAGAATGGTTTCAAAAACTACCAAAGCCTAATCTAAATATAGTCTAAGAATGGCGCTTTCAGCTATAGAGATAAGTGTTCTGGTATTTGCAACATGAAAGAGACACCATTAGTGTGTCATGCTAACCAACTTGAAAACCTTGGCTACTGCTTATCGGTGTGCTCATAAGTATATTATTAGAAGCTTTTGATAACCAAGTACAAAACTGAAGTGATCTGTGGTGGGTTATTTTCAACAGTCTTCTCCTGCTTACATATAATCTTTCATGAACCTGACTTCAGGGTTCAAATTCAAATTTAAATTTCTTAGCAAAATTAGATGCAACAGCTGTGGGGAAGCCAAAGAAAGGGCATCCTAAGCATTATGTAAGCACTTAAAAGTCAAGCTTCATCTTTTAACACTTGATGTGAGCAGATAAATCAAGGCAGCTATTTTGTGCTACTGCCAATTATTTGCAGCATTTTAGGGTAGGACTGTGTGTACTTTCACACCCAGATTTTAATAATTTATCTGCTTAAGTATGCCAACATTTCATTTAATTTCAAAAATGAATAGGTTGAAAACCATTCACTTTATTGATTTACCAAAAGATATTTTGAGATGAACCCTGTGCTTGCACAGCCACTCTTTCCTGCGCTCACTTTCCCACTTACTTCTTGAATTAAAAAATGGTATTATGTGCCATTACATCCAAATCACAGCACATTATGTTTTGGACCTGCTTGACAAAATAGCATTATAAACTAGAATTAGAAATGTGCCTGTTTTCTAAACTGCAAATTACTCACCAAATCAAACACGAACATTTGTGAGTTTATGGTCACTATGCATTATTGGCTAATCATGCCTTACAAAATTGATCCATCTCAAGTGGAGGAACCCCAAAAGATTAACTTACTCCTCCTGGAGCTACACGCGTCTGAGCTGAAGCCTGGAAAACCTTAGGAGGTTCATCGCCCTTCTTGGAATAGGTCATCACTGAGGAAGAACTGAATGAGTGGGCATTTGGATCAACAGCCATTTTATCCTGGGATCAAACATAATTTAAAACAGAGTAAAAATCACCAATAGAAGATATAATGGAAGCCAAGATTTAATGGTATGTATTAAGTTCCTTTAGACATTGAAAAATTAAATCTCATGGAAATGTAACTCACTGCAACATGGTTGCCCCAAAATCCAGGCCAGCAAAGTGTTTAGAATGGTAAGCAATGGAGCCACTACTTAAGAAAAGAACTCAGGATGGAATATATTGCATGCAAGAAAAGGCTTTGTGCTGAGTGAAGGAATTACTAAAAAGGGACATTTTACAAAAGCAAGTCCCCTCTTTCCTATAAACAACCAAAGACTACCATAGCTATGCACAGACCAGTTATTAACATTTGTAAGCTTTTCATGTGACAGGGACAGAGACATGTGTTCACCTGCCAAGCAGCAATTACTTGCAAGATGAGGGGATGGGAGAAGACAGTAAGATAATTTGTGAAAATGATTCCAACAGATTGTATGCATAAATATTCCAACTCATTCCTGTAAAACAAATCCCCTAAAATGTAGACAATTCAAAGATAATTGCACAGTTTAAAATAGAACGATTCAGAGAGAAGATTCCAAGGCATTTCCCCCACCCAAAATGGAAAATTTAACTATTTTGGATTATTAAATACTTAATTCTTGAATGAATGAAATAGGAGGTTACATTGCTATCCAACAATATTGTTCCCAAATTGATTTCTACAAACTACATAAGAGAAATTTACTATAGGAAAAATTAGTGATGCAAAATATCTGGAAATTTTGAGGTGATGAGAGGTTTTTTTTTTTTTTAATCCATGTTGTTCAATTCCTGGCATAGTTATTTCCTGCATTCCTTATTAATATTATTGATCTGAAGTATCTTTTACTGAAAGACATTTAAGGATGTTTCAGCTTCTACTCAGTTTCAGAACACATGATTAGAGTAGAGTAACTATCCTAATACATGCAAAAGATGTGCATTCCTGACAATTTGGATTTTGTCTTGTTTCTGGAATTGTTTGAGTTACATGCTGCATCAGTCAATGCATGTAGTTTTAAAAGCCACATGCAAGAGAAACACTGCACATTATGCCACCATTGCCAACACATGCAAAGGCAGACTGTGTGCTATCTCACCATTTCCTCCCCCCCCCCCCCCCCCCCGCCCCACACACACACCTTTAAAAGTTAGATCTTGGGTCTATGGAACTCATTGCCATAGGTTTTACTAAAGTTACCAATCAAACCTCACTGTCAGGGTAAGCAGCCAACTATAAAACCTGCCAAAAAATACTTTTATACCTAAAAGCATCTTATCAGCATGGTTCTTATGACATGACACCATTCTATGTTTCTATCAAGGATAGGCTAGACATGCACATGATAGGCATGTCATGAGTGGACCTGGCTAGGGCCAGGGGTCAGATTAGATGGCCTGGCAGGCCCGTTCTGACTCGCTTTATTTCTATGTTTCTATGACTAGGAACAAAAATCAAGCTATTCACTCATGGGGTTGTTGCATTACAGGGTTTACCCGCTCTGGGATGCACACCCTAACCTTGTGAGGCAGTCTGAGAGGGTCAGAGAATCTACGAGTAATGCAGAACAAGGCCAGACTCTCTCACTGTATGATCTCCTGGCAGAGTGACCCAAGGTGGAAAGGTCAAAGCTGAGACAAGAGTCTAAGATGCATCCACCCTCATAAGGACTAATGAATACATCAGCAGAAGAGAGCAGAAAGTCAGAACCGGAAGAGGAGGAAAATCAAATACAAGATGAATTGATTCCATAAAGGATTTTACAAGAGCTATGCAGGGCTGTCAAGGCAAAACGTTTTGGAGGGCATTCATTCATAGGGTTGCCCTAAGTCAGAGATGACTTGATGACATGTAGCACCAAATTCATGGGATTTTTTTTACAAAAGAGAAGAAAATGTCACTCTTCAAAACACAAGTTGAGATTTTTAAAGCATCCTTAAATTAAATAGGCTTGGTTATAATTCCTAATAGGGGAAAAAGTCTTCCTCAGTGAAATAAGCTCTCAGTACCTTTACTTCAGACCACATTTCTTTAAACTACACCAGAGCCAATTTCTCACACCACCAACAGATTTTGCATACAAGTCTTTCTCTGCTTCCAGCTCTTCTGGCTTCTGACCCCCTAGGATGCTTCAAATATTTCATGGACTATCTATCTATTTAAAACATTTATAAGTCATCCTTTATGGACAACTTGATAAAGGGCAGAGTTACAATCCTTTACCTTTCCCAAAGGGTGGGAAATTCACCCCACCTCATGGGAAGACCAGCCCAGTGTAGGAGCAAACCAAGTAATGTACAATATATTTTACTTTCCTAAAATAAACAAGTGACTTTGGATATATAAAAAACACTTTAAAAAGTATTAGGTGGTTAGTGTTTTTCAATTTTTCTGAAAATTCTACCTCTGCCCTCCAAAAAGAGTAGGGAAGAAACAGCCTTCCTGTTCTCCAAAGCTTCAAAATTTTGGAAATTGAATATACTCATTTACAATGTTCTGCTAACATTTCTACACTGAATTCTCACAGTTACCTTTCAATATTTTATATTTTATACAGTGGTACCTTGGCTCACGAACTTAATTGGTTCCACGACTCTGGCCGTGCCCCAAATTGGTCATGAGCCAAGTCAAATTTCCCCATAAGGTTTAATGTAAATAAGGTTAATCCATTCTGTAAATATTTTTTTTAATCATAGGGAAGACGGGCACGATCGCAGGCATGGTCGGCGGGGGGGGGGAGATGGGAGCAATCGCGGGTGCGCTGGGGGGGGAAACGGGTGTGATAGTGGGCGTGCTCGGGGAGACGGGCGTGATCATGGCCATCTCCCCCCACCCCAAGCACAATTGCGCCTGTGCAGGGAAGACAAGCGCAATCGTAATCATCACCTGATGCAGAGTTTGTGACCTGAGGAAAATTTTTCCTGAAATTTCTGTTCACAACCTGATTTGGTTGTGAACTGAGGTATTTGTGAGCTAAGGTACCACTGTATTCTCTGACCTTTTCTCTTCTCCCTATTACTTTAATGTTGTTGCAGTTTTTAGTTCAAAATTAACTAAACTCCAACTTACAAAATTTCTTTGCAATTCCACCATGCTGTTTCTCATGTTTGACATCATTCTATCCATTGCTGAGAAAGGATCCCTGAAATCCATGTTCTGCAGAAGAAAGGGGAAAACATTAGAGAGAAACAATAATACATCTGACATATACCTTGTCACATACCTTTAGTTATATACATACATACAAATATTTACATTTTGGTAGAGTGTACCAGAAGATTGAGAAAGCAGCAGCTTAAATATCCCAATTAAACAAAAAGCAAATGCAAAAAGCAAGCAAAAGCATCAGGGTAAAAAGATAGTGATTAAAGGGCAAAGCAACAACAAGCCTTGAAGTGTGGGAGGTGGTAAATGACAGTTGTTGGGCTCTCTCAGACAAAGCATTTTTGTATTGTCATCAGCTTCTTTAAAACTCTTTCTGTGCAGAATTGAGAACTAAGCAAGGCATCAGGCAGAAGATTTTGGGTTTGGTTTCCCCCCACTCTCTATAAAACTAATAGCTAGGGTGAGACAATTAAAATTGCAAGAAAAGGTTAGGACACTCTTCTCCAGAGTGACATTTCCTTTGTTTTCACAGTAGCTCCCTGTGGTTATTAAGCATTTTTCAACTTCTACTGCACACTAACAACAGTATATTTCTATCACCAGCAAAACAAAAGCCAGTCTATATCATCATGTGAAAGAAAGCAGGCATGTTTCCTCCTCAGGTTGAGAGATCAGAAGTTGTTATTCAGCAAAAACATGTTTATGCTTCTCCCTTTTATGAATCACTATTATTATTATTCTGCCTTTTATGAATCATTATTATTAGTATTAATGTTGGGACAAAATAGAGTCCTCTCTTTTACAGCATAGTCTCAAGGTTAGAGTTGAATGCTCATAAAAGCTGTACCCTTTAGCAGAGATTATTTAGATGACTAGGCTAGGTCAGCAATTTATGACTTAGTGAAAGTATCCGTAATTCAGATTCCCTTCTGTGATTTATTATTTGTGATTTAGGAATAAAATTTCACTTGCTGTTAAAGAGGGTAAGTTCTGATGAGAGAGTTCTGCAAGCAGACTTGTATGACAAACTGTTGACTTAGTTCCAAAGTCTATTATGAATTTTCAGTAACCAAGGCTTCCGTTTACATAGATACCATTTGTCACAAGCATTCCAACTCATGGGTTACCACCACAAGATACACACAGAACATTAGCAGAAGAATGCAAAAGCCTTTATAGGAAGCCCAGTGAATTCACAGATAGTTTTAATGCAGGGTATAATTGTACACATGCACACACACACCATCTGCCAACCCTTCCTATTCTGCCCAAATAATTGCAAATAAAACCCAGCTTTTGTGCAGAAATTAGAGAAGTATATAAACATTTGCTTTGCATAGTATATTTTTCTGTGCTTAGATTGCCACACAATTTGACATTTCTGAGGTGGCAAAAAGAAAGGCAAGGTATAACCAGGGAGACTGCAATTCAAGAGGGCTGGCCCAGGACAGTTTGCTACTCAAGGCAGAACAGCAAATGGTGACTTGTTCCCCATCCCCAAATCTGGATGAAAAGCACTGGAACAATGTTTTAACCTAGAGTATGAGGTCACCAACATTTCAAGAATCATGAGTCAAAGATGCAAGTAGAAGGCCTTATGCAGTCTTCAGTGTGTATCCCAACTGCACAAAAGAGAATGGTGCCCAGTTAAAAGGCACCAGATGGTATCCTCATGCAATGGCTTGTGGAAAAGAGGCAGTTTTACTTTCATTATCCTAAAGCTGATTAGGTTAATTCTGGAATAATCACTAAAAAGAAGACCACAGCATTAAAAAAACCCATTGCATATCTTATTCATAGGGTAGGTTGTGGTGTCATGAGAATTTGGCCAGCATGTATTTTTTGAATGGGAAAATTATTTGAAGACCACAAGGATTTGTTACAGGAGATTTGCAAGCAGACACAGGAAGACAAATCTGGGTCATCACTAAAGGTATCGTGACAGCCACACTTACTCAGCACTTGCAATAGGCATGCTAGCTGGAGAGCAGGAAAGGGACTTTGAACCAAAAAAGAAAGGCAGGACATGAACAAATAATTTAAATATTTTCATAGCAAACAGCTATGAATTCTGGGGAAATGCAAGTATCTCCATGACACTACCTTCAAGTAACAATAACACATTTATTTTGTTAAAACCATGTGTAAAGTGCTTCAGATGGCCAAATGTACCTACAATCTTTTACAGGCGGGGGGGGGGGGCATGTCTAGACTTAAACATTACCAGTTACCTGCTCACTATAGCGCTATCTTGTAAAGCAGCAGTTTCCAAACTTTTTTGGTCATGCAGTCTTCTGAAGACATTTGTTTTCCCACAGAACCCTAATTCTATCTCTGATTTTTACAAAGCGTTGTGATCCCACAATATTCTTCTTTCTTTCAACTGCTCCTATTACCTGAGTGTTCTGCATAACATAGGTTTGGAAATAAGAGAAAATATTTGAAATATAGTGAATGAATGAAGTAATATCCCAAATGAATTCTTTTGATTATTCCCAACACTCTGCAACAAAGTCCTAGGAACCAAATGATATCATGCATTTCCTTGTTTGCTGCTTGGATGCCAACTGACAATAGAATAGTTGGCCTCGTCTAGTTTCATTTTAAAATCTGTTTTAAATTTAATTTTTGAGATTTTTCTCTGGACCCCCACAAGGCTTTTGTGAAACCCTAGTGTTCCACAAAGCACAGTTTGAGAACTGATGCTCTAAAGCATAACATGCTGTGATACACAGCAACAATTACGGCAGTGATAAGAAGATGAAATAGCATGAGGGACACAACATTACAGCCCTCTCATCTGGATCACAGTATTAACTAAACATGATATAATGAGCTGAAGCAGAGTTTATCAATTAATACAGAAATAATATTGCAAACACTACTGAAACTTTAACTGGGTTTTTATTCTTGTGGAAGTTGTGAGAAAAAGTCTTTTACATTAGTATTTCAATCTGCACAGTCATTTTAATTAGGACTTTTAAATGTTTCATAAAATGGGGAAAAAGAACACTAAAATGCATTTCACAAAGCAAGTTGTAAAAAGCTTAGCTTTAGTAGAAGAAACAGGGGGAGGGGCATACCAGTATCACCAAAAATTAGAAACTTGTGTTTTTAAGATACTAACCATTCCACCAAAACAGCCAAATGGCATAAGAGGAAAACTCATGGCCTGAAAGAGAAATATCAGCTCATATAAATTGTAGCATTAATACCAGGGCGTAAAGAGTGCATACATGCAGGGTGCATCCAGACTGCAGCTTTCATGAAATATGCTGCATAATGAAGAGATTCTGTCCATATTGCCAACCAACCTCACTTCCTATACTTCATATGCTATCTTCATTTCAAGAACCTCAAGCTTTTGTGCCATTGGTTTGGACAAGTGCCTTTCGCTGTTCATCATCCAGTGCTTCTTTTTTTTTTTTTTTTTAAGTTACTGAAACCTTGCCAACCTGCCTCCCTCAATTTTTTAAACTTGACCACATGTTCACCTAGAAAATTTATCCATTTCTGTCTGCAATTTTTTCAGTATGTAAGCTAACAGCTGTAAGCTAACTTAGCCATTTCATTATCCCACAGTGCACTGACTTCCTTTTTAAGGTCTCTCAGCTCAAAAGCAAGGTGCATCTCTGAAAATTCAGTGTCAGTTAACAGAGAAGTAGGTAGAAGATAGTTTGGGATCCACTGAGAGTGATACTGGTTTCTGACGTGGTTCCTGCTGCCACCACCCATCTTGCTAAAAAAGAAGGCTTGGGAGAAAACTGGGGATAGATTTTGTATGGAAGAATTTCTCAGTTTGTTACTCATACCAGTAACAAATCCTTGAGCTGCACATGTGCTGAGAAACACCTTACCAAGTCCCTTAATTCTTAGTGTATGTCCACCTGCTTAAAACTAGTATTAGCACGAAGCTTCTGTTGGCAGAGCTCAGGGTCCCAGTCAAAAACCAAAGTAGACTTCAGAAGCCTGAAATCTGCCCATCATTTGGTTACCACACACACAAGAAAATGAAGAAACTATGGGCAGTATCCTATTTGGCAGTAGTGCTGATGTAAATTACATTGCATTAGCGGACACAGTCTCTAGCACAATGCCAGTAGTGTCAGCTGATGTGATGAGAACCTGTTGTGCCAGGAAATACTGCTGGCATTAAGTTTATGTTAGCATAATATCAGCCAAATATGATCCTACAGGAAGGAAGATGAACAGGTATGCAGGAGCAACATTTTAAGATTTGTTCCTAGAAAGAGAAGAACCAAAACCAGAAATAGAATATGATAGGAATACTAGTATGGACAGGTCTGCATAATGACAATATGACCATATCATGAAATGTTAGCTATCAGCATTTCTTGAGTATACTGACCATGTGACCAAAACTGCCAAAAGGCATAAGGGGAAAACTTGTTGCCTGAAAGAGAAGTATCAGTTCATGTAAAATTGTTGCTGTAATACTATAGTGTAAAGATTAAAATGTAGAAAGAAGGTATCCCCATATCACCAAAAGATAAAAGTTTTATTTTCTTTAGTATACTAACCATGCCACCAAAACTGCCAAAAGGCATTAAGGAACAGCTCATTGCCTGAAAGAAAAATATTAGCTTGTAAGAATTGCTGCCTACCACTGTGAACTAAGGATTTATACTGACTAGATGAAATCTGAAAAAATAAAACTCCTTAAGTGTAAACATAACAGCATAAAAGAAAGAGGTGACCAATTGCAACATTTGCTTGTACTCATATGTTACTTACATATTCATGCTATTCAAATAAAAAGCAGGAGATGGGCATGTGTCTAATTCTGCCTACAAAAGGGTTATGAGATGAACTTACCGTCTCTTAATGATCCAGGTCTGGCACAAGAGGCTACAAACAAGTAAGGCAGAGGAGGGGGCAAGATTTAGCTCCCCTCACTCATGTGCCTCATTTCATGCTATATCTTTCCTAAGCATTATGTTCTACATATCTGTTGTCAATATTAGCCAACTCAGAAGAAGAGATGTTAATTAAAATGAACAAATCTGTTCCTACTTAACATATACATTTTAATAATGAAACCATAAAGAGCTGAAATTACAAATCACAAAAAAGAGCAATGTGGCCAGTCCATACACAAACAATTATTTAATGTAAAAGCAAGAGATTACATGGAATAAGCAATGAAATACATACAGCTTCCCTAAAATATTCAGAGCCCTGTTGATAAACCAAATCATCTCTCCCATGTCAGCACTTTCAAAGGTAATTGCAAAGAAATTCTAAATAAATCTATCATCATCTACAAAATAGTTCGACTTATAAATCCACAGCAAAGAAATTATTTTCTAGTGCACACATATATAAATAGATGACACTCTGAACACCATCTAATGCAGTTACTTTCAGAATTCAGCCAATTGGGCTTGAATATCTCTGAGTGGAAAAATTATTGAGAAGTCTAAATATAAATTTGAATTTCCAAAAGCATGGATGAAAGGTATAGTTATATGCAACTATCACTTGGAATAGTATTTTACAACAGCTATTTTAAACTTATTTAGTAAACACGGAATGCTTTCTACAGTTGAACTGCAAATCCAACATACTTATAAAACCAGCCCCGGCCCATTTGTGGCCTATTACTGCTGTACTTTCTCAGTCCCATGATCCATTTATCCCTTGCAATCCCCACACTTCTTATCCCCATTTCTGTGTCTTCCCATTCAAGAGACTGAAAAGCTGATTTTGCTGGCCCAGCGGTGACTAAACTGTAACAGTTTGGAGTGCTAAAAAAATTCCTGCCATGTGCTTGTAAAGTCCTCCCTGGGCTCAACTAAAATGGACAATTTACTCCACAATACAATGCTGCCATGCACCAAACCCACAGTAACTGGTTTTGAAAGAAGCAGTAGTAACAACGAGCTTCTCCTGAATAGTCCAGCTTGTTCTAATTGGCACCTTGCTGTACAGCATTAAGATTTAATCTCTTAATGAAAGGACATTAACATTGCACATGACTAGTCTAGTTAGAGTATTAGCTACTCATATGTTCTACTGAAGAGGTTCATCCCATTTCGATGGACCTGATTCCATCTGAAGGCAATAAATGTAATCATGCAATGACAAGCAAAAGCACTACAATCTTTGAAAGTAGCAATCTTCCGTTGTTTCAGAAACAAAGAAAAACGAAATTAAACACTGTTTGAAAACCTGATTGTTTCCAAGCTGCTGCACAATACAATTTCCTTCTAAAACGAATGCAGTAATACATACTGTGTAACCCAAGAACTAACAATGCAATCAGGTGCAGAGCTGATCATTACAGGAGCCCCACTTCTTAAATGCACAAACCCTCCAGCTGGGTAATTCTATCTGCCAGTCACACTGCTCAACTTTGATGCGTTGCTCAGTCTCAAAATACATTTAGATAGGGCTTTTCTGATTGCTAAAAATGTGACTTTCTGGATATAAACTACATTCCCTACATATAATTTTAGTGATTTCACGGAGAGTTTACCAGTTCCCCATCAGCTATAATCATAAACACAAAACAGAAGGCCTGCAAAAGCTACATAAAAATTGTATTTGTTTAGATTACAAAAATCATGATTGTATATATAGTAAACAGCACTGAAATATACAAAACAATTTATAATCAAAACAATCATATAACATGCACAAAAGAAAAATAAGTCTGACAAGTACACAATGTTGCAAGGATGAATGAGGCACATTTTCAATTGTTTCCAGCTAACAGAAACTCTCTTTATTGCAAGAAACTGACCCAGACAGCTGCACTTTATCTGTTTATTTATTAGATTTATATCCTGCTTTTTCCAATGAACTCAAAGAGGCTTATGTCATTTTCTCCCTCCTGCTCTCAATCTTATCTCCACAACAAGAACCCCGTAAAGTAGGTTGGGCTGAGAGCCCAAAGTCACCCAATTGGCTCCATGGCTGAGCAGAGACTAGAAATTTATATTGTTATTTATGTATTTTAATTTATTTATTTGTCAGCCACCCCGAGGCTTCGGTGAATGGGGCGGCCTAGGAATTTTCTAAATAAATAAAATAGAACCCTGAACTCCTGAGTTCTGTGCACACTCTTAACCTCTACACTACACTGGCTGTTTGTAAATGGGTAATTTGATAGCTACATAAATCCTCCATTGCTCTCTCCTGGCAGACAGCAAGGTAAATCCTCCATTCCCTCTACCAAGGGAAAGGACTGACTTTTGGATTAGTCTGCACCATTCTATTTTTAAATACCCTTTATAACCATTGCCAATTGACTGCCAAAAAAGTAAGCCTATGAAAAACTGTATGACTGCACAAGGTGTTCAGTCTCAGTTAATGAGATTTTTTTTTAACATGGGGCATAATCAAACTTAATGTAAGTAGAACTCCATTTGCAGAAGAGAATTACCATTTATCATCTCCCATGCCCCCTCCAAAATCTGCTCCAGATAGTACCCTAATTCTCTCAAGACGTTTTTCAGCGTAATGTAGGGCTAGGGCTGCAAAGAGAAGGGAACTGCCTTTTCTGCCCGTCAACATCTGTTCACAGAAGGAGTCCTGTTGGTTGGAGATCCATTGAATCTGACCAACATAATGTACAGATAATTACAACCATTTCAGATCAAATTAAAATTGCACAAGAAACTCAATATGGAACCATGGACTGCATTCTGAGCTCTTCCCAATAAAGGCAGGCAGGATGGACCCAGATTTCTGATCCATGTAAGATATGAAATTCCATAGTCAACTATATTTCTACCCCCTCCATTTCCAGATGAATGTTTTGCCCCCCAAAATATGAATTTATCACTATGAGTGTATGCTCATAACAAAGTTTAACATAGGGCAAAGCCAAAAATTATTGCAACCTCATATTTGAAAATTGTTTGTTATATTCTCGATCAATTTACCTACCTAACTGGAAGAAATTGCTGTGCCAGTGCAATCCTATACAAGTCTACTCAATTTGTAAACCACCCTTTGGGCTATGGGACAGTATATAAGTGTAATAAATAAATAAAGTAAATTCCCTTGAATTCAATGGGACTCACTTCCAGGTAAGTGTGCAAACCATGATGGGATCAAGTCCCAATTCATCAACATGTCATTAGAGTCAGTGTCACAGCAGTATTGCAAGGATGTTAACTTAAAAAATACAATGCAAATTTAAAGATCAATGAACCAACAGATACAAACTTTCAGAAAATCGGATCAGTTATTTAGACTCTCTGTCTCAACTGTACTTGGGTGGCTATTTAAAAGGTATTTAAACATACTTATTCCAGATATACATGCAAGAAACTGTATGCTGACTTGTTCAACAAATAATCAGAAGAATAGCAACTAAAAAGAAATCTCAGTGAGAAGTATCATATCTTGATAGTGACAATAGGTTGTAATGAGATGCAAGAGATTAAGAGAATACATACCTTGTGGTTGTCCCGCAAAGCAATTTCAGAATCCAGATGTCCTCTCTGATGTACATTACTGTGCCCACCATCTTTAATAGCAAGAAATGGATCTCGCCCAAAAGGTTCAGAAAAGAAACGCCGTAGATGTTCGTTATGTGCACCAAAAGGTTCCCTGAAGACAATATTAAAATGGGGATGGGGGAGAGAAACAGCTTATTTCTAGCTATGCATTTAGATCACAGGCAAGCTTCCTTTTACATTAAAAATTGTAAAGGATACCACTCTCTTGGAGGCAGAAACACAGTGTTTGTGGTAAAAGACATACTGTTTTTCAGTTAAATCTGATACACATTTCACAGTTACACCAGAAGAAACTAGAAGGAAGAACACCCACAGTAAGCATTCTCACTAAGAAACAGAGCACTATTTCCTTCAAGGACAGGGCGATATGGACGTTCAAAGTCTCTTGCTGAAGACACACAAGATTACTTACCTTCAAAGGAAACTGAATAGAAGTCTCTGGGAGTTTTACAAAAGTTTAACTTATTCATCACAGTATACTAATAGTTCTATACTGGTATATTCTGGCATTGCTGAAATAGTGCATCTTGCTCTGTCCTTGGAGACCGAATATACATAATTAAAAAAGAAAACACCCATTCCACTATACATGTTCTCCTATATATGCTTATTTTGGGGGAAGAGTGTAGCATTATTAACTTTTTCAGAAAAGGGCAGCTTGTTTCATACAAAACACTAGCTATAGCAGAAGACTGTGTGAAAATATTACCGGGCTACTCTTCAGACACTAAATGCACAGGACTGCCTTTCGCAGAAAGGAAATTGTTCCTGCACCTGTCTGCACTATTCAGGAAAAAAACTTGGCAGGAGTAGGAAAGACTTTGACTGAGATCTACCAGAGCTTCCCAGGAACAGCTGCTTGCTCAGAGAGACATTTATAAAACCAATTTTATCCTAGACAGTATTTCTGGCTTGCCAATTCAAGATCTCTCCTTGTGAGGTGGAGGAAGCTTTCATATTAGCATACTATTTTAAAAGTTAATCCCAAGGTGAAGTATCCTCTCCACTTGACCTAGCTTGCAGCATCTAGAATAGATAGAACTCACTGCTAGTGAAATTACTTTTTTTAGACTCTGAAGAGCTTCTAAACCAGACAATTGTCAGCTACTGTGGCTACTGCAATAGACAACTGCATGATCTATATAAAATAAACACCCTCCTCCTCCACAACTACCTATTATGACAATAACAGAGTTCACAGGTCGCTTAAGTGTGGAATCCTGGCCTACTAAACTGGGGAGTTATTTTGCATGCAACAATAAGGCATTGTAGGTTACAATGTGTGCTGGCTGCTATTCCGACTATGCACGTTGTGGTGGATGCATGCTTTGTGTGAACCCAGGCAGCATGGGTTATCTGAGGGTTCTTCTAGGGTTATCCGAGGGTTTTTTTTTTTTAACCTTTGCCAAACCCTCACTACATGATACAAGCCATGGTACATGTCCACCATTGTTTATATATTCAAAACAGCCTATATATGCAAAAGGCCCACTCTCATACATACAGCCAGTTCACACCCACTTGGCTCCCCACACCTGCAAGAGCAGGCAAACAAAGCAGGCATCCATAACTTAGTGTTATGGATCCTAAGCCAACATTAAAGGAATATTAGCTTATGGTTTATGGATGCAGGCTTATTTGAACAGAATAAACCATAATCCCACATGCAGGCACAACACTAAGCTATACTTGCTTTGTTTACTCATGAATAGGAGAAGCAAAGTAGAATCAAATGGGCTACACATTAAGTAAGGACTCCTTGATTCAAGTGATATGGGAACATGATCAATAGTTGTCTTCAGATGAAGCAGTGATAAGCCTTGCTTCCTCCTTCCAGACCAGCCACGAGGAATTCAGAAAACATGTAAACATCACTAACTAGTCAAAGAACAGAAGAGAGAAAATGGGAATAAAGGGCAATTTCTCCTAATGGAGGGGAGAAAAATAGCTGAATTGAGATTTGTACTGAGCACTTCTAGGTTCACTGCTCAGTATCTTAGCTATTATGCTACGCTAGCGCCACCAATATGATGTTTGTTTGTTTAAACAGATATCCATTTACATGTTGGCAGTTCCTTTGCAAACAACTTATCTTTATGCATTCCAGTCCATATGAAAGTTTTTTCTCCACCCATTCAGTAGCTTTATTCCTTCTCACATAATACAGTGTGAATTCTACTTAACCAGTCCTCCCTCATGTCTACTTTGGGGATGACAGTCCTGCTCCCTTGAAATATATTTTCAGTTCAAACACAAACAACTGAGATGCCAAAATAAACATCCTGTAAGAGATTTTTACCAAAATACCCTAGGGAGTGCTGGCTATAGCCTTTTAAATTTGTCCTCTAAAATTCTTATAAAAGTCAAATGACTAAAAAATAAACTAGTAGTACGACTGAAGGCTCAGGACACTTTGGCTCTGATCCACCAACACATCAGTTTGCAGAATCTAGCACTGTGTGAGCATAATTTTGCTTATGCAATAGGACTTCTGCCTCCTCTTCCACCTACCCCCCTGAATCTGCTCTGGAAGGTCCCCCATCTTTTGGAGCAGATCTGGAGGTGAACAGAGAGTTGCATGGAAAGGGGAAATTGTGCCCTCCTGTTCTGTTGACATAAGTCATTACCTAGATACAAGTTTGTGTAACTCCTAGGGGTGGAATATATATGGACCAGTGCTTTTGCTTTATTTGTGCTCTAATTTTTCAAGTAGAAGCAAGTCATTTTTGGATTCCTACATGGCATCAAAAAAGACAAGCATCTGGTTCAAATGTGGGAAAATTGAGCACGAAGGAAAGAACCTGCCTATGCATGCAGGTTTTTGGATCAATGCCACTGGATTTCAAAAGAGTAGGTGTTGGTTGCAAAGCTGACATAAACGTTGAAAAGCTTGTGAAAAGAGCAGCCTAAAATAGTTGCTGACACACAGTAAAATAATTCAGAAATTCTGTTCTGATTCCAAAATGTCTGGCATCATGTACTATATTTTAGCTTACGAGGGATACACCAAAAGTTAAGTCTAGGCATGTACTGACTGGGGGAGTTCACCATAACACATACCTTGGTATACAGCTGGTAAGTTAGACCTATGCCGAATAACAATCAAGTCTAACTATGAAAGCTTCTAAGTGTGTATAGGTATAAGAAGTTAGTCCATTTAATTATACAACTTTCTTTTTCAGGGTGTTCATCATTCAAATGGTAAATAAAAAAATCCATCTCTGGTTAAACCAGACAGGGCATACAAATAAAAGGCAAGGAACTAGCTACACATTCCTGTTTCCACCTGATCTCAAATACAGAAAAGTATATGGCCATATCTGATATAAGGTTCTGAAAAGGAATACCTTAAGTATGCTTAAGTGGATATAAAGAACCAAAACCTACTTTCCTAGGTTTGAGTTACAATTCAGAAGCTAAAGTGTAAAATTTGGAGCCTGATCCTTCTATTTTTATTCTGGAGTGAGCCACTGAGCTCTATAGTTACGCCTATAGATGATTTTTTTAAAGAAAGGGAGCATACAGTACAATCCTATACATGTTTACATGTAAAAAAGATTACATTGCATTCAAGGGGGTTTAAACCTTAATGTTTATGATTACTATCTAAATATGGGGTTCTATGCATAATTAGACAAAATGTCCCACAACTTCCAGCATTCCCTAGCCATCCTAGGTAGCTGGGGAATACTAAGAGCTGTAGGACTTTTTTCCTGTCTAACCATGCACAGGATTGTATCCTTACTCTTTGCATTTAAAGTCTGAAGTTGGAGAAAGGGATTTAAGTTAATCAAATACAATCCCAGGCATATGCAAAAAAGTGAGCAAGAAGCAGTAATCCCAAACTCTTTTAGCCTAAATTGCTAGAAGAAGTTAAGCTACAAGGAATAACTTTAAGTTATAATGCAACTCTTGCCTTGCTTTTTTTTTTTTTTTGCAAATACAGTTGCGATAGGGCAGTGTATCAAATTAATGTTTTCCTTCTAGTTTTCAGCAGTTATCCAACATAAATACACCAACTAAACAGCAACAGTTAAGATAACTATTAATTGCACTTTCAAACTGCAGTTCCCTGAAAAAATGCCCCCTTTATGTAAGCATTTTTCTATCCGTGTACCTACAGTTCTCTGCCCCCCTCCAATTGTACATAATTGGGCCTTGTATTGTAGAAGTGAAGAAGCCATAGGAACCTTACACTATTTAATTTTAGAAAAATAAGGTGTACACGTTAATTCTTGTACTGCAAACTTAAAATACAAAATACTTATCCCTGTTTAAAAAAAACCTTTTAAAAGTGTCCTTTAAGATCCATGAAATAAACTGACATTTTCTTGTAAGTGATAAATATGATAGCAAGTTATAAATATGTATTTTCAGTACTTGGTGAAGACAGGGCTGAACACCTTTTTCTGTGATCAGGTGTGAGAACTCCACTGTTTATAACAAATGTTAGTTGGGATGAGCCAGCGGGAAGAACCTAAAGCAAAATACTGTCATACTGCAGCAAGGGCAGACTCCAGTCATGCTTCCTAAGGAGGCCAGTGGCACAGTTCCAGAACCCTGGGAAGATTCCAGAAGGGTATCCCTGTTCATTTGTTACAACTGATCTACTGGTGGTATCTCATTAATGCATGTATTGTAGCAAAAGCGTTCATATATTAGAGCTCTCTTCATCACGTGCACTGAGTGTTATCCTCAGCTGGCATACCTATCCCGTTTTCAGATGCACACTTAGATTCAGGAAAAGACTAGGAATGCTGAGGTCCAAAGACTATGGAAAGGCAGCACCTTCATATACTAGGAGAAGGAGCATACGCGTATATTACAAAAGCGAACCTGCGTCTTAGGCATAAGCGTTCATGGACTAGAGGCTGCTGCATCAGATGGGTCAATGTCATCCCCAGTTGGCAAGTCAAACCGCAGGATCACCCTACCGCCTTCTCCACCCCAAAACCATGGACATGCCAGCCAACCGAGGGCAACACCTCGTTTATGTTGTGAGCCGCCCCGAGGCTTCGGCGAATGGGGCGGCATAGAAATGTTTTAAATAAATAAATAAACACTTGATGACTTCTGCCACTGACAAGCACCTGCGTCTTTAAAACACCCCATGCTTCGCTGATTTCACTCCGGCAGACTAACAGGAAAATAACAACAGGACACATTCAGCAGGTGAGAAAGAGACCTACTGAAATGTGAACAGGGATGCAAAGATCGGTCCTTGGTTAAAGGATAGAAGGGGGTTCGTTCGAGTCTCCTCTCCGCCCCACCGCCGACGCCACCGCCGACTCTGAGGGGCTGCGTCTGCGAGGGCGATCGAGCGCTCCCTTTTCCTAAACTCCTCGCCAAGGGGGTCCCCAAGCGGCCCATCTCCCTCCCCGCCCCCCTCACCGAAAGAAAGGGTCGTCCTCAAACATCCTGGACAGCCCCCCGAACATGGCGACGGCTTCGGCTTCTTTCGCGGCTACAGCTTCGTCCCGGGTCTCGTCGGGCACCGTTCGTTGCCGCTTCCCCCCGAGAAAAGCCCCAGCGCCGAGCCGCCCCCGCCTCTCCCCGCCCCGTCCCTCCCCCAGAATCTGCGCTTCTCCCTCGCCATTGGCTCTGGGACGCATCCAACATGGCGGAGGGCGACAATGGGGCGGGGCTGCTGCTATGGCAACCGGCCCGGGCCTCCCGCTCTGCTCCAGTTTGTGCCGTAGTTTCTGTTTGCGGCTGCAGTTCTCTCGCATCCACTTACCCACGCGCCGCACCCCGTCCTGCGGGGAAATGGCAGAGAGTGAGAAGGCGAGAGAAGCAGCAGCAGAAAGGACTGCGAAAGGAGAAGCCACCAAAAAGTACCGCTGACACGCAACGAAAGGGTAGGAATCCGGATCAAACCCGCAGTTGGCGTGGGATCAAAGCACCGGCTGCGCAGTGAGAAGTCGCGCAGTCAACACCTCTCGGGTTGGCAATTTATTAAGATACAGTATTACTGCACCTGTAAAGGGCAGGCAGGGCGGCTTTATAAAAAGACAAGCCAAACTAGCTTTAAAATAGCATTAAAAGCATACATTAAATCTTCATCTGGCATAATGCATTATTTTGTTTTAAAAACACGCACTCTTTTCCTGTTCAAGGCTTGGAGTTGATGGTCTTACTGGCCCCTTTCCATCCTATTATTCTGTGAGGACGACTCTCAAAGGTGTGCGCGGAGATGCAACTGTCAATGCTACTTTTGTCTTTGCATTAAGCAACGTCCATAGTCTAACAAGTGTAAAATTAAGAAACAAAACTGCACACCTTCAAAAATCTTTGTTAAATGATCCTAAGTAAGTGATCCTCTTGTTTCTTTGAGGCATTTGTTTGAATGCCTTCTGGTGAATAAGGACATTACTGAATTGGAAGAAAATACAGAAAGGGGCAACGAAAATTATCAAATGGGGAGCAGTCACAGCGACTGGGAATGTTCAGCTTAGAAGAAAGGCGAATATAGGGAGACAGGATGGAAGCGTTTAAGATTATGCACGGAGTGGAGAAAATGCAGACATTTCTCTCTCTTTTCCACAACACTTTTCTCTCTCGCCAGGTCATCCTGTGAAGTCGATAGAAGTCCACTTTTCAACTTCACAATGCTTAGGATGTTTGCCTTGTCAGCAACATTGTCCTGCTCTACTTACTTGCTGTGCAATCCATGGCATGTTTAGACAAAAAATCTTATACCTGCGAGCATATCTTCAGTCATGCTGGCTGGGGCTTGTAGGAAATCGTAGGGCTGTTTTCTGTCAAACCCTGCAGACAATTTCACCCTTGAGCTTTAATATAATTGTCACAGTCTGCATTCTTTGAATTTCATTTACCTCTGACTGATTTTCACAGAAGAATAATGGTAGGGAATGTGGAAGGCAGAAGGCATCCTATGTTTTGCAAGGGCAGGCCATAATGGAGGGCATGCTTTCATAGGGTCGCCAGGTCCCTAAAGCCAGGTCACTGTTCTTTCCCCACTGCCTCTCAAAAGACTTAATCTTGCTGGTTTGTGGCTGGCAGATGCCATTGTGTTGGAGTCCTGAATTTAATGGGTTAAGAACAGGGGTGCTTTTTCAACAGTTCTCAACTGGGAACTCCCAATCTGGAGAGGCCTGCCAGGTATGCACATATTTTCTGTGACACTTTCCTTCACAGTCAGCCTCTGCTTCTCAGCCAATAGGAGCTTCAGCTTGCCTTTGCTGCTCCAAAAATTACCTCCCCCCACCTCCGCATTCAGACCACATATTTAGAACACTTTTATTCCACTTTAAACAGTCAGTACTTTCCCAAAGAATCTTGGGTACTGTAGCTTGTCAAGGTACTGAGTGTCTTTACTGGACACCTATTCCTTACACCAAAAGGTACAGTTTCCAAAGATTCTGGGGAAGAGGAATTAACTGATAAACAATTCTGGGAATTGTAGCTCTCTGAGGTGAATAAGTGTTTTCTAGCAACTCTTAGCCCCAGAATTTTTTCGAATCAATAATGGCTAGAATGGAATAAAAGTATAACTGCAGTATATTCACTGGAATCAATGGGGAAAATTAGCCATGACTTCTTAAATTCTGCTTACTTCAGTTAGACTATTTTACGCATGATTCAGCACTGATCCAATGAGAGCACAATAAAAGATTCCTGGATATTTTGGAACCCCTACACTATGGATTCTGGACTTACGGAGGATCTCCCACACATGGAAAGTCAGTGGTTGCAGAGGCCGCAGAAAATTAAAAGAAACCAAACCGTGATTGTCAATCCAGCCTGCTGCTGGATTGATACTCGAGTTTCCTTTTTCTTTCTTCCATCTCTGTCCCTTTTCCTTTGTATGTCATGTTTTTAGATAGTAAGCCTATGGACAGGAACTGCTTTATTAATTTGACATAAGCCACTCTGGGAACTTTTTAATCTGGTAGTAGATGTTAATCTGTTTGGGTAGATTTGGACAACAAAACAAGCAATGGTGATCTGCCATGTCATCTATGTGGTATTTCAATGTGGTGCATTTGGTTCTGAAAAAACACAAAAAGACACATCAGTTTGTTCTATGGTTTCGCAGTACCCCAATTGCTTGTTGTGTCATCTGAACTAGAAAACACAGCTTGGTGTGGTACCACCTTAGTGTGATACAGAGGCCAGAACCATAGAGCCAGTGGTAGAGCCAGAGGCAAGAATCTGCTGAGCAGTGCGGCAGAAGGAACACCACAGCTAACCTGATTCCTCCTTGCCTCTTTGCATCTGCCAAAGGAAAGCTCCTCTTGTGCGCAAACAAGCCTCCAGTGGGCAACAAACGACCGGGTGGCAGTGCTCAGTTGGGGGCTGTGTGCTGCAGCAGACTCCCAGTTTCTCTTCTTTCTCACTCTGGCTTGCTAGGGTGGCATCTCCAACCCAGCACCAACTTTCAGTCCCCTCTGCAGCAGCAAGGAGGGTGCCTGACCGGTTCTTTGTCTCTCGGCTGAGCTTCAGGGCATGAATCCTGTTTGTGTAGCAGAGACTGCTTGAGAACCACAGTGAGTCAAAATCAGGATACAATTGGAGCTGCCAAAGTAAGCAGCTTTATTTCTCCCCACAGGACCACCTGGTGTGCCAACTTAGATGGAAGAAAATGGCAGGTGGCAGGAGAGTTACCATGATGAACCTAACATCTTTCAGGGCATTCCATGCAAAAACACCACACACAGTGGAAACTACATGGTATTGCTTGTCATGACATGTGAATCTGTCCACTGACTGACATTTGAGTCTCCACGGTTTAGGAAGGCATTTTTCTGCCCTGTTCAAGGATGCCAGGAATTGGAACTAGGATTTTTTTTGCATGCTGTACCACTAAGCATCAGCTTTTAGCTCACAAAAATAACAAGAAATGAGTTATGATGCTACTTTGCTCTGTAATCATCAAATAGCTGTTCATTTATTGCTGAGATTTTATAAATAAAACTTTTAAAAAATCCTTTTTCCCTTTAGCTTGACAAAAGCTATGTTCTGGATTCTTGCAATGGCAGCAGAAACATGATCTGGATCATTAGAGGAACTCAGCAATCCTACATCAATGACATCATCATAGATGACAATCCATCCCTAGGACTTAGCTTGATGCAGTTTTATTCATCCAGTACCTAGACAAATATTTGTCATCAAAAGAACCTTAAAGCTACCTTGATTTGCTAAATGGCCAGTCAGTTTGCCCAGCTGGTCCAAAAACACATGCAAAATAATAAATGCCATCTTGGTCAGCATGACTCCCTCCATCCCCTTTCAAGGACAGCTCTACGGTATTATCTCCCCAGCACACATTCCTCCTGCTATTACCTGGTAACCTCACTCAAGAGTGAGGATGAGACCTTCAAGAGGCTGATTATGGGGCAGGACCAGATTGCTATGGAGATACTTTGGGGGAAATTAGACACCATGAAAGCTTGTGGGGTGGGAGAGCATGCCATGGTTGTGTGAGCCCATGGGATGGAATTGGCCCCAAAGTTCATTGTGGGATCCATTTGTTGTGAAACAAACTGATTAGAGTAGGAACACTACCAACCATTTCTAAAAAGAGAGAAAAATAGATCTTTATATCTAGCAGAGTTCAGAATGGTAGAAAGGGAGACATAAGGAGGAATGTGAAGAACCTCAGCTAGCCACAGGTCAACAAATGACGGGAAAATTCTTTTCCAGCTCTGGATAGAACTGACACTTAACAGCAGCCTCCCAGGTTGAAGAGGGCAAGAGGAATCCTGGCAGCAAAAAAAGAACATGAATGCACCTTTAAAAAAGCCTTAGAGAACCAGCTGAAATTTTCACCTTTGGCTGTGCTCTAAGTGGAAAAACACATTTCAACCAGTCTAAATAAGTGGGACCATTCAAAACTGGCACCCCAAATGACGGGTGCTCTTTCCATTATCTGCACTGTTCTTCCTCCGGCTCATGAGGTGACTGTGAGAGGCCCTGTGAGGACAGTCCCACAGCAGCTGCAAGACCTTCCATCATACTGCTGTAAGTCACATGCTTAATGTACCTGAATTTTGGGATTCCAGTCATAGTAACCTTCTGAACCTGGATTCATTTCTTTCCCTCTTCACGTTTAGAAGCACTATCACAGTCAAACTACTAGTAATACAATTCTATGGGATAGCTGTAGCACAGTCCTTTGACTCAGGAGCTGCTGAAGGAACAGGTGATGGGTAGGTTCTGAAAAGGAGGGCAGCTGCTTTCAAGACAACTATGTCAAAGGAGGGTATCAATTGCATATACAAATGTGTATGTACAGGTGTAAATGTAGGAAAAATTGTTGTTACATAAATACAAGACATACCACCAGAGTGGAGAAAACTGATTAGCTGATCTCTGTGCCCGCTTGCTTACTGTGAACATGCAGGTTCAAGGCCTCTTCTGTTACCTTCATGGAGTTCATGTAAATTCTACTATCCACTTTTCAAGGAAAGGCTTGTTTTCTGTCAGCTCTCCAAAACAGAGGACTGTCCTCTAAGCTATATACCCCCTGGCTATCCTAGGAGGAGACTAAAGAG